CTACCAGCTATGTGCCCCAGGGATCTTCCTATCCTCTCGAGCCTCAGCTTCCTCTCTATACACGGGATAAAACAGCAATTGTGGGCAAAACTGCTTCAAGTGTGAGCCCTGGAAAGGCAGGCAGGCTAGGGTTGGAATCCCAGCTAGGCCCTTCCTGTCTGCGCTACCTGGAGTTACTCCGGCTCCCTGAGACTCAGTTTCCACATCTGTAGGATAGGACAGACCCTCCCATGGAGCGTCTGGGAACATTTAATGTGACTCCTGGGGCAAATGGGCGAATCGGCGGGAAATCAGACTCAATTTTGCCCTGGAGTGGGGTGAGAGGTGGAAGAAGTGGGAATGGGGTTTTAGGTAGGGAGAGCCCCCTTTCTCGCGCAGCCGGAGGCCTCCAGCAGGCAAGGGCGCATGCGCAGAGCAGCCCCGCGGCCCCTTTATAAGCGCTGAAGCGGCTCTGGGGCGAGCGGAGCGCAGGGCGCAGGGGCTGGACCCGGCGCGAGCGAGCAGAGCCGGAGCGTCCTTTGTGCCGGGCGACCGCCCCGGGATGCGTCCGAGCTAGGAGTCAGGTGGGGGGTCCGTCGTGGGGAGGGGGCCGCGTTGGGGAAGAGGTCCTCGCGATTAGAAACAGAGCACGGGATTGGGGAGGGGGCCTGGGATCAGAGAGAAGCCCCCAGAACAGGGAGGGGGGCTGAAAAGGGGGAGGGGAGACCCAGGTTGGGGAGAGAACGCTAACTGGGAGGGCGCTCGGGAATGTCAGGGGGACTCAGATTTGCGGGTCAGTCCCCGGTTATCCGGGAAATGCAGAGACAGTCTCAAGGTGGGGAGGGGGCCGGGCTGGGGGTGGGTCTCAGAATTGGGGAGGGGGCACTGGGAACCAAGGCTAAGGGAGGGAGGGCACCCCGACTTTAGAGAGATGGGGACAGCCAGATGCTATATAAGGGGCTCCAAACTGGGTATCCGGGTGTCCGAGCTGAGACACCCCAGGATTTTAAGTGGGGATTCCCAATTTGCAGATGAATGGAGGAATCCAGGCTGGACTGCAGCGGGGAGGGGGCCCCTCTTGATTTGCCTGAGTCCGATGGAAGAGGGTCTTCCCTAAGTGTGAATGGCCATGGGGAAGGGGCGCCCCACTGTCTCCCTCTCCTTTTGGCCCAGGTCCTGTCACCACATCCCCTTCAGGGAGGAGGCTCTAGGGGGCTCCATCCCAAGGTGGTCCCTGTTGTTCCCTTAGATCTGGAGTTGGGGTGGTGTCCCTTCTCCCAGGGAGTACACTGGGTCTCCCAAGTGAATGCTGGGTGTGAGTCCCCAAAAGCCCCCAGTTAGGATCCCCAGGACCCATGAGGGGCACCCAGTCCCAAGAGGGGGGCAGCTCCCAGCACCTCCACATCTGACCTAGTCCTCACTGAGAGACACAGACTCTTGCCTCACCCCTTCAGCTCCATATGTCCATATGGATGCTTGTGGAAGTCCTGGCGTTTTGGGGGCACAGGCACTAGGAAGTAGAGGGCTGGGACCCCAGGCCCAGCCTAGGCAGGAGCGACCCCCATTTCTGTGCACGGGGCTTTGTTCCTCTCAGCAGCATTAATGGGAGACAGCCAGGATGAAGAGAGGGTTGGCGCTGGGCCCCAGCGGGGGACGTGGGGGAAGGGCAAAGAAGGAGGGGTGGGCAGATCGTGGGACCTCAGAACCCAGCAGCTTCGCTGGCTTGCAGACATTCTCAAATGGAAGGTGTCCCTCCCCCCAGGAGGTGGGGGCTTTGTGTGTTTGTATGTGTGTCTACCCCATGCTGAGAGAGGTTGTGTGCCCGTGGAGGGTCTGGGGTCCTCTGTGAGTCTAATGTGATCGAGGTTGTGTCTTTGTCAGGAAACTTATGCCAGGGGCCACATCACCAGGTGGCAAAATGATGTGTGCCCGCCAGTCACCAAGGCCACATTTATCCAGCCTGGAATGTGCCAGGGACTAGCATCAGCATGTGTGAGTGTGTGTGAGGAACTGTGTCTGACGGTATGGCCTCATCGAGGGGTTTATGTGGGGAGCCTGAGACTGTGGGTGTGTGTCTTTGTGCAGAAGACGTGCTGCCTGCCTTGTAAGTGCCCATATTGTCTCTCTTTGTTAATGTCACTGTGAATCCGAGTGTGCGCGTGTGTCTCCCAGGCTCTGAGTCTGGGATGTGTGGCTGCATGTACAGAAAGGGGGTCCTTTCCGTGGGATTGGAAGTGTGGACCCTGACCAGGGTGACGTGAGATATGGTCTGTGTGCAGAGTTGGGGAGCTAATGGGGGGGATGCTGGGGTTCAGGTCCCAAAGGGGCAGCCTGAGATGGTTTAGAAGCCTGACTTCCATTCTCCTCTGAGGAGTTCCATGATCATGCCCATGCACACAAACATGCCCTGACTCCAAGGCCAGAAACACACACATGTGCTCATGGCCCCTGCGGAAGGGCACTTGGACCTGCAAATCTAAAGACCACAGTGGATCTCTTATGCTCCACGCAGTGCACAGAGCTGCTGCAGACCCATGCACATATCCACACATCACAGGGCACAAGTTCACATCCTTGCCTGGACACACACCCCGACGCACACCCAGGCACACAAAAACGCCTGCTGGCAAACTCACCCACATTCAGTCCCCACTGAGAGAGGCACCCGTGTGTGTGTGTGTGTGTGTGTGCGCGCGTGTGCGCCCGCGCGCGCGCGCACACACACACACACACACACACACACACACACAACCTCTTTCCCGGCCGCCCCTCCTCCAAGGCCCCACAGGCCCCTGATTGCATATGCATGAGGCTCGTGCATTATTCATGAGGGGATGAGCCCCAGACAGCTGTGTAAATGCTCACCTCTGGCTGCTCTGGGGAGGAGGTATTTTAAGAGAAGGGGTGTGGGTGTGTGAGGGTGCAAGTGGAGGGAACAGAGTGCATCTGGGAGGGCATGTGTGCACGTGGGAGGGTGCACCTGAAACTCACTGTGTTGGATCACCTCTGTACATTTGCATGCGTACATGAGGATTTGTATACGAAAAACTGATTTTTTAATTTGACATTTCTAGCACTTCACAAGCTCATTCCACCCTCTGTGGTACATGCTGGATGGTCTCCATTTTATAGGTGGGGAAACTGAGGCATAGAAGATGAAGCAGCATACAGTCATACAATGTATGGAAAATAGAGGCAAAGCTTTTTAAAAAAAGTAATCTCTACACTCAACGTGGGGCTCAAACTCAGGACCCCAAGATCAAGAGTCACATGCTCCTTCAACTGAGCTAGCCAGGCACCCCTGGATGTAGTCTGTGCTTTTAACCAGTCTGTGTGTGTGTGTGTGTGTGTATTCTCTGATCACCCCTTCCTAAGGCCCTGTTGGGGCAGGTGCAGCCCAGAGTCCTGCCCAACCCTCTAATACCTTGCCAGGCCTTGAACAACCATCAGGGGACACCATACTTATTTAAGTTTCCAAGGTGGAGAAATGAGGACAGCCTGGAATGGAGGCAGAAGTTGCTGAGGTTTATGGATTGGTGGTTGGGGGCACCATCCCAGGGCCTGGACTCTGCCCTGCTGTGCAGCCCTAGGCAAACTGCTAGCCCTCTCTGAACCAGAGGAAGGCAAGGAGACCAAATGGGCAGTGTCGCTGCACTGCCTCCCTAGAGTTCAGCACCACGGATAGGTCCCTGGCTAGCCTCCCAGTAGGGCCTCTGGGAACTGGGAAAGGACGCTGGGGATGGGGCCAGTTGTCCTCCACAGCCCCCATTCTGGCTCTGTCTACACTCCCCTTCTCAGGGCTGTTTTTATTAGGGTAGGGGGGCAAGAGCTGAATTTATAGAGGATGCTCTAACTTGCCGTTTGTCCCCACCTCCTGAACTCCAATGAGGGGAGTGGTACAGAAGGCTGGGAGACTTTAAGGAGGGACTATCTCCCCAGGGTTTCTGGTCTCTGGAAGAATGTGAGGGCTGGAAGGGCACTGCTGTGTCCCAGTGCCTGGTGCCTGGATTAGGTCTTACTTATAGTTGGCACTCAATAATTGTGCATTTTATTCCTGAGAGTCATAACCCCTAGAAAAGGCTGGACCTACAACTGGAGTTTCTCTGTAGACCTAGGAAGCATCTTCACTAGGCGGTATGAAGTCAGGAAGAAGGTGGGGTGGGCAGGGGTGAGGCCCCTGCCTCCAGCTGGGACTTGGCAGCCTCTCAAAAATCTCAGAAACCAAGAATAGAATCTTGGCGACAACCAAATCCTGGAATTGAAGCTGAGAATCGTGTCAGTCAGCAAACCCAGATTAAAGGCTGGCTTGAAGGCCAGCCTACTGCCAGGACTGGGAACCCCAGGCAGACTGGGATTGCCTCCTGTCCTCTTGGAGCCCCCAGTCTTACAGGCGAGGCCAGCCTGAAAAATGGGATTTTGATCTTAGTTGTGTTAAGGTCAATATTAATGAAAACAACAGCTCAAGGGAGCTTTGCTGGCTCAATTGGAAGAGCATGTGGCTCTTGATCTCAAGGTCATGAGTTTGAACCCAACGTTGGGTGTAGAAATCACTTAAATTTAAAAAAATTTTAAATAATAACAACAGCTTAGATTTACTCCTTCATGCCAGGCAGTTCTAGGCATTTTAAATGTAGTGACTGTGTTTACACATTTATTCCTTCCAACTACCTGATGTTAACCCTATCTAACCTACAAAGAAACTGAGGCACAGAGAAGCTAATCTACTTGCTCCAGATCACACAGCAGGGAACAGGCAGAGAAACAACCCCAGGTCTGATTCACTCCAGCACCCATGCTTCTGATGTGAGATTTCACTGTTCGGATTCTGAAGTCAGCTGGTCCTGGGTTTAGATCCTGGATCAGCCCTTGCTTGCTAACTATGTGACCTTGAGTGACGCACAGGCCTCTCTAAGCCTCAATTTCCAGATCTGTGAAGGGGGGTACTTGGTCCTTCCACACTGACTGTCCAGGAGGACTGTACGTCTCCCCCATCTTCCCTCTCTTTCCATCTTGTTTTCCAGGTCCAGGATGGGGACCACATCTGTCTGGGCCTCAGGCCTCCTGATGCTCCAGATGCTGCTGTTTGTGGCTGGAGAACAGAGTGAGTTGGCTTGTGAGGTGGGAGAGGTTGGGTTCGGGGGTACTGACCACATGGGGAAGCTTTTTAACTCTGGAGCCTTCTCCTGCTGGCTCTCTGGCTTGGTCTGGAGAATAAAATGAGAATAGATGAAAAAGGTCTTTGAACAGTCAAAAAGCGAACAAGACACCTGAGAAGTTATTTTTAGTCATTGCCAGTAGAGGCTGGAGGTTTCTGCCTCTCACTGTTTTGCTGAGATGAGCTGAAGAGAGAGAGGGAGAAAGAAAAAAAAAAAGAGAATAGTGCAGAGATTGATTGGTGATGCCTGCCATGGGTGGGGCAATAGCAATAAGGTATATGTGACTCTACGGGCATCTCCCCAGTGGTAGTTAAAAACCCAGGCATTAAAATGCCTCCTGATTGGCTCTGTGATCTTAGGCAAGTACAATGATGTCTCTGAGGGGAGTTTCTTCAACTCCCCTCCCCAAAACATGATGTGACATGGCCACCTCTGCCTATAGTTATGAAAATCAAGGAGCTGGGGCACCTGGGTGGCTCAGTGGTTGAAGGCCTACCTTTGGCTCAGGTCATGATCCTGGGGTTCTGGGATTAAGTCCCACATCAGGCTCCCCCCAGGGAGCCTTCTTCTCCCTCTGCCTCTCTCTCCGTGTCTCTCATGAATAAATAAATTCTTTAAAAATAAACAAATCAAATGAGCTGATTGCTATGTATGAAGTGCCCATTAAATAGAAGGTACTCCACAAACACAAACATTTCCCTTCTAATGGCTGCCTCTTATTTAACTTTGGGGAAACTATGACTCAGAGAAGGATAGTGACTTTCCCATGGTCACACTGTGTGTCAGTGACAGAGAGTCAATTTCTGGCAGCCAAGATCTGAATTTTTTAAAAGATTTTATTTATTTATTCATGAGGGACACACAGAGAGAGGCAGAGACACAGGCAGAGGGAGAAGCAGGCTCCCCATGGAGCCTGATATAGGACTCGATCCCAGGACCCCAAGATCGCTACCTGAGCCAAAGGCAGGCCCTCAACTACTGAGCCACCCAGGCATCCCCAAGATCTGGATTTTGAGTGGAGGCATAACTGTGAAGGGATCTGACCCTATTACTCCCCTTGTGCTCACAGACTGGGGTGCACATCACAGATCTGTTGACTGCATTATGATGTTGTAGGCAACCTACCTTCTCTGGCTTCAGTCTCCCTATCTGTAAAGTGAGGGGAATAGCAGTCCCTACTGGTCCTTGTCTTTGAGTCAGTCCCCTTTCCACGTTCTCCACTCCAGGCACACAGGACTCCACTGCTCCTGCCTCCACCAACATTGACAAGGGGCTCCACATGCAGAAGGTGGGGTCAGGGTTGGTCCGGGCTGCACTGGCAGAGCTGGTAGCCCTGCCCTGTCTCTTCACCCTGCGGTCATGGCCGGGTGCAGCCCGAGAAGCCCCTCGGATCAAGTGGACCAAGGTGCGGACTGCATCGGGCCAGCGACAGGACTTGCCCATCCTTGTGGCCAAGGACAATGTGGTTCGAGTGGCCAAGGGCTGGCAGGGACGCGTGTCACTGCCTGCCTACCCCCGGCACCGGGCCAATGCAACACTGCTCCTGGGACCCCTGAGGGCCAGCGACTCTGGGCTTTACCGCTGCCAGGTGGTGAGGGGCATCGAGGATGAGCAGGACCTGGTGCCCCTGGAGGTGACAGGTCAGTTGGGGGCAGGGGAGAGGATAAAGCTGGGAGGGGGAGGGACTGAGCCTGAAGCTCACCCACAGAATGTCACCTTAGAGATCACTCCTTGAACAATGATTTCCTTTCAGTTCTTCTGATAAATTCCCAAAGAAAGTCTCCTCCGGGACTTCCCTTTCTTTCTCTAACATTTCTCTCTCTTTTCACTAAGAGAGAGCAAGTTCTGGCTGTCTCTTGTGGAGCACAGTATTTTATAGGCTTTTATAACTTTTTTTAAAGTCCCTTTCATGGTTACCTACTTTCACATAAGACAAAGGATATTGACTTTCTATTTTAAACAGGAATGCCAATTTCCTTTTGCAATAAATTTATGTTTTTTTTAATAAAATAAATTTGTTTTAAAGGGTGAGGTTTTCTTTTTAAAGTCAACTGAAAAATATATTAAGTAAGTAACAGTTCTCAAATACCTGTTTAACCAACTCCTGTTTTAAATTCTTTCTGTTGAAGTATCTAGTGTTTCTCATTTCCTAACTGATCAAGATAAATGAAATAAAACAAAATTTTAATTATTAAAGCAAAGTCCTAGAACAGGGTATGGCACAGTAGAGCGCAAAAAAATAATTGACAGAGGACTAAGTGAATGACCATTGTGTAGAAAACATCCAAAAAAAAAAAAAAAAGAAAGAAAACATCCTTGGTGGATGTGGCTCCTTTGTGTGGATTCTTGCTGGGAAGTTAATTTCCCTTAACCTAAGTTGGCCATGGGCAAATCCCTGCATTCCCCCAGCCCCCTGGTCTTCCTCCACTCAACAGTGTCTCACTGCATATTTTATGGGACCAGCCAACTATCCCTTTTCCAAGGCCTTGCTGCTCAAAACTGATAAATCTTGAAGAAAACTGGTAAATGGTGAAGGAAGTAAATTCCACCTCTGGGTTTCAATTCATTAATTCAACTAAACACTTATTAACACTACCATATGCTAATCTGGTGCTGGGGACATAATCATAACTGAGATGCAGCTGTTGCTGCATAGAATAAAAGGTTTTGTTCCTTTGTCTTGCTCAGACATTTCTTTCATCCCCAAAATGGAATTGGAATTTCACTCACAGTGAGCCCATTATTGATGTTTCACATCCTGACTTACATGTCGCCTCCTGCAGGAAGTCTTCCGTGACTCCATTTCCAGGCTGAACAAGAAACACTTGATTTCCCATTGCCACCTGTGCTTTCCCAATCAATGCATGTACTTAATTCTTTTTTTTTAATATTTTATTTTTAAGTAATTTCTATACCCAATGTGGGGCTTGAACTCACAACCCCAAGGTCAAGAGTTGCATACTCAAACAACTGAGCCAGGCAGGTGCCTGCCCCAGCATGTACTTATTTCTTAAAAGGCAGAAACTCTCTCACTCTTCTCTATGCCTATCACCTCTAGGGTCTAAACCTAGGCATCGAGAGTGTTATTTTTGAGTCAGATCATCCGGATATGAATTTTGGCTGTGCCTCCTACTGGCTGTGTGGAACTGGACATGTCCCTCAAACTCTCTTAGCCTTAGTTTTCTCCTCTGGAAATGGGGATAATCATAGTGTTGTTGTTAGATTTCAGTAAGATCATGCTTATGAATGCTTTTTACACGGTAAACATTTGACAATTTCTAGCCCTTTATGGCCATTGTTATCAGTTATCTAAAAATAGGGGTATATCATCTGGAGTGGTACAAGGCAGCATAGGGGAGCAGGTCTATTATTATCAAACTGGGGGAAAGGACTTTTTGCAAGAGGGAGGTCTGTTCTTGAAGATTCCAGCATAATCAGCTCCTCTCCTGGATGTTCCCCTGCAGGTGTTGTGTTCCACTACCGGGCAGCTCAGGATCGCTATGCACTGACCTTTGCAGAGGCCCAGGAGGCCTGCCGTCTCAGCTCAGCCACCATTGCAGCCCCACGGCACCTGCAGGCTGCCTTTGAAGACGGCTTTGACAACTGTGATGCCGGATGGCTCTCTGACCGCACTGTTCGGTGAGGGGGTACATAGAGTTGGGACATGGAGTCCTAACCCCTGGGGAAAGATGGTCATTGGGGGCCCCAGGTGCACACATTTGAGAGGGACCCCCCTCCTTGTCTTGTCAGGTATCCTATCACCCAGTCCCGTCCTGGTTGCTATGGTGACCGTAGCAGCCTTCCAGGGGTGAGGAGCTATGGGAGGCGCGACCCACGGGAACTCTACGATGTGTATTGCTTTGCCCGTGAGCTGGGGGGTAAGTCTGGGGCTGGCAGGACACCCCCACCCCCACTTCCCTGAACCCCCGTTACCTTCTCCACCCCCATGCCTCCCTAAGTCCTTGCCTAGCTCTCCTAAGTCTCATCCCTCTCTAAACCTGCAGCCAGAATCTGGGATCACCCTTCTCTGAGCTTTCCTTCCCTCCCTGAGTCCCCCTCCTTCTCTGTGCTCCTTCCCTCTCTCTGAGACCCCATCCCTGCTCTGAACCTTTTTTCTTCCCTGGCCCAGCTCCCTCCTCCTACCCTCCTCTCCCTCTCTGAGCCCCCCACGCCAATCCCCTCCCTTTCTCTGAAGCCCAACACACTCAAGGGTCTGAGTTACCTTATTTGTAAAAAGAAGCTAAGGCCCTCTTCTTAGCACCGCTTGAGAAGTAAAGACGACGACCGGGCGGGGCGAGCCCATCTGCCACCACCCAAACCCGGCCCTCCTGGGGTTTAGAGTGGGACCCCCTTCCCGGGCTCCGGGGGAGGATCCCCCAGGCCCGCGTGACCTTCACCCGCGCCTTCCCGCAGGCGAGGTCTTCTATGTGGGCCCGGCCCGCCGCCTGACTCTGGCCGGCGCGCGTGCCCAGTGCCGCCGCCAGGGCGCCGCGCTAGCCTCGGTGGGACAGCTGCACTTGGCCTGGCACGAGGGCCTGGACCAGTGCGACCCGGGCTGGCTGGCCGACGGCAGCGTGCGCTACCCGATCCAGACGCCGCGCCGGCGCTGCGGGGGCTCAGCCCCGGGCGTGCGCACCGTCTACCGCTTCGCCAACCGCACCGGCTTCCCGGCGCCCGGAGCGCGCTTCGATGCCTACTGCTTCCGAGGTGCGTGTAAGGGCGCGCCCCGAGGTTGCAAGCCCAGGTCAAGGCCACGCCCCCGGGAATTTTGCTTTCTAGTGGAGGCGGAGCCCAGGCGCGGGAGAAGATCCTTGGAAACAAGGTCTGCGATAAGACACGCCCTCGGGGTAGGCCACGCCCCCAGTGCTGGCCTTTCCGTAGAGTCCCGCCCTGGGGGTAGGACCGCGGCCGGCCGGAGACAGCCAAGCTGCCGGCGGGAAGTTCTGTTTAGAGGGTGGGGTATATCTCTGGAGATCCCAGAAAGACACGCTCCTGGGTGGAGCATATTTTAGCTGGAGGCTTGTGCATAAATATCCCCTGGGGAGGAAGTTCTGCCTAGATTAGCCATGGCCCCTGGACAGGATCACACCTCCAGGGACTAGACTAGGGAAGACCCCAGTCCTTGGAATGGGACCAAAGCTTCAGAAGCTGCACACCTGACTTCAAGGACCCAAGTCCAATGTGCAAGGGGAAAAATTATCCTTTGTAAGAAGGCTACGCTCACTAGGAGCTTCCCCACCTCGGGGCGGAGCCACAGCCCTGGTGTGAACTGTCCCCCAGGATAAGTGTCCACTGCCTGAGCTTTACCCAGTAGCCATGCTGTCTCTTGACCTTGACAGTGGGTCCTAGCCTGAACTGTGGGAGTGATAACTTCACACCTCCCTCTCTCAGTCTGGGGGATCCCAGAAACCACCCAGAGGTTTCAGAGACAGAGGGGCACAGAGAGAGATATACAGAAGGTCTGTGCTGCAGCATGTTGGAGTGGGGGTAGATTTCAGCCAGAACTTCCCAGCCAGCCCCTGGACCTAACACAACCTTTTTGGCTTTCTCTCATAGCTCATCACCCGACACCACATCAACATGGAGACCCAGAGACCCCCTCATCTGGGGATGAGGGGGAGATCCTGTCAGCAGAAGGGCCCCCAGCCCAAGAACTGGAGCCGAGCACTGGGGAGGAGATGGTCACCCCTGACTTGCAGGAGCCTCTAGTGTCCAGTGGGGAGGAAGAGCCTATGATCTTGGCAGAGAAGCAGCAGTCTTGGGAGACCCCCAGCCCTGCCCCTGGAGGCTTCACGCTAGCCTCAAGGCCCTCCCTGGAGGCTGAAGAGGCATGGCTGAGCCCAGCGGCCCCCAGCCCCAGCAGCCCTAGCACTGCAGTGGGCACACACACGGAGGCAACTCCAACTGGCCCCATACCCAGGAAGAGGGGACGCTTTAAAGGATTGAATGGGCGACACTTCCAGCAGCAGGAACCCCAGCAAGGCCTGGAGACGGGGCTTGAGGCCAGCACCCAGCCCCCGACCCCAGAGGCTCCTGGGAATCACGTGGAGCCTCTGCTGGCCACTGGAGCCACAGATGCCTCAGGGACTAGCCTGAGCCAAAGCCCCTGGGCTGTGCTGACCAATGAGGTGGATGTGCCTGAGGCTGGTGAGTGGGGTTCAAGGGGGAGGTGGGACCTGCCTGGGGATCTGAGGGGGAATAGGAAGAGGCTCCAAATCCCAGCTGGGTCCCCAGGCCCCACCAAGCCTCAGAAGCCCCCTCTTCCTTGGGCCTGGAGCCAAGGGCACTCAACAGAAGGAACTGCTGAGAGATAATTAGAATTACTCTTGTTGATATTGTTGCAGGTTCCCCTGGTGGCAGGAGCCCTCCAGAGTCCTGGCTGTGGCCCCCAACCGTGGTCCCACCTAGCGTCCCAGGCCCCAGCAGGGTCCTTGGCCTGGAACCTGAGGAAGCCAAGGGCCCCAGTGTGAGGCCAGCCACTCCTGACCTGCCCTGGTCCCCCTCAGAGGGCACTGCCCTGGCACCCAGCCCCTCAGAGGGCCCCAGCTCTGCTTCCTGGGAGGTAGCTCCCATGGTCTCTTCCCCAGACCTCCCTGTCATGGCCATGCTTCGTGCCCCAAAACTGTGGCTTCAGCCACACCCTACGCCCCTCCCCACGCAGGCCGACAGGATCGAGGGGCATAGTGAGGCCATGGCCACTATCTCACCCTCTCCTGCCTCAGAGACTGAGGCTATCCCCCAGGACCCCATCCATCCAGAGGTGCATTCCTTGTTGCTCTCCTCAGTCCCAACAGGACAGGGTAGAGAGGCCACATCCCCAACAGTCGGCAGCCACAGAGCAGGACATCCAATAGGTTTCTCGCAGACAGCCACAGACACACAAACTGGACCCAGTCCTGACTCTCCCAGGGCAGACTTTGAAGAAATTGGGGGGACCAGCCCTACTGGGCTCAGCAAAGATGAGCTCCCCAGTTCCACTCCACAAGCTTCTGTGGACAGGAATGTGGAAGATTTCGCCCCCACTGAGACAGCCATTGAGCCCCCAGGAGTGAGAGACATCTCGAGGTCTGACTCTCAGGCCACCATGGACGAGGCACAGGGCACGTGGCCCTCACTGCACAGTGAGGGGTTGGACTCTCTCCCCACATCTGCACCCTCGGGGGTCCCCAGAGTCTTCTTGATTCCTGGGGTCACCCCGAGTTTGGAACCTTGGGCTGCTATAAATGGAGAAGCCATGTTGGGGCCCACGGATTCCACAGCCACCCTGGATCCCAGTGATGCTGGTAGGATTTGGGAACCTGGATCCCATGTGGTTGAGGGAGCCGAAAGCCCCCCAACCTTGAGCCCTCAAATGGCTGTGAATTCGAGCGTGGCAATGTCCCTTTCGTCCCCGGACCCGGGGGACAAGGTTGGGGTCCTGGCTGTGTCCACAATGGCCTCCTCAAGCTCCCAACCCCATCCAGGGCCGGAGGGCCAGGTGGTGACCCAGGGAACACTGGGAGACTTGGCCCCTTCACATGAGGGCAGTCCCCCAGGGGAGCCTGGTTTTCCTCCTTGGACACCGAAAGCAGCTGGCATGGACAAACCTGTCTCAGTTTCCTCAGGAGAGCCTACAATGCCGGGGGACACCCCCAGCACCCATCCGCCTGCCTCCCTGGACCCAGAGGAGTTTGAGCTAGAGGTCCTGGCAGGGAGCCCAGATGTGGAGGGCTTCTGGGAGGAGACAGCAAGCGGAGAAGAGCCGACCCTACCAGGGATCCCTGGAAACAGGAGTGCAGAGGAGGGTGAGTTCAAAGCCTGTGACCTCCTCCACTGTGGCCAGGGCTTGGGGAAAAGGGGCTGGGGAGCCCAGAGCTGGAAGGAAGGGTTATACTCAGGGGCCCAGGAAGGTTTTTAACAGGGGAATGATGTTGGAGCTCATCAGGCAGAGTTGAATTGCAGAAAGGGTGTTCCTGGAAGAGGTACCAGCTGAGTAAAGGCCAGGAGGTGAAGTTGCACCTTTGTTTTGATGCACAATGAGTAATGGGGGAATAACGAGGCATTGGATGGAGTTTAACTTGGGAGATGATTCCAGTCAACAAATCATGCTCGTGTCCACTCTGAGCCAGACAGTGCTGTGAGATACTGGGGTCTGGCCTTCAGTGATGCCTCAGTCCGGAAGACACCCCCAGGTGGGGCTGGAGGGAGGAGGCATGGCAGGGAGGGCTTTTTGGTCAAGTGGGAATTGCAAGTAGACCTCCAGGGAAAGTGGGTACTGGAAAGAGGCAGAAGGGGTGGGCATCACCCCCATTTTGTAGAGAGCAAAATAAGGCTTAGGGGAAGCATGACTGCCTCCTACTCAGTGGCCACACTTCAAGCAGAGCCCAAGTCTGTGGAACGCTTAACTGTTCTATGTCCAGAGGAGTTCCGAGAAAGCCGAATGCCCTATTCTCCTGGGGCCAGCTCAGCCTGCAAATTCTGGCTTTTTTTCCTCCCCTTTGGTCAATTGAGCCTTAAAAAAAAAAAAAAAAAAAAAGAAGCAGCATCAGCTAATTAAAAGACACTTGTTCTGAGTTCCAAAACACTCTTATTAACACAATTGGTTTTACAGTTGCTCCTTTTTTTGAAGGCTAAGTGTCTCGGCACTGCAAATAGCGGATGCAGCATTTCATTGCCCATCCTGTCACTCTGGGCTGTGTCTAGGACTGCTCCTCTTTTCTCAGATGCCCAGGAGGCAAGTGGACTCTGGGCAGAGTTGTGAGCATCAATAAAGGCTAATGCTTATTGGTACCTGCTGCACGCTTGGCTTGTTTTGAGCACTTTACTGGAATCAACTCGGTTAATCCTTAAAATGTCTTGGTGGAAGAAGTTCTAGCAAGATCCTTACTTTACAGATGGAGAGACTGAGGCATGGGAAAGTCAGGTGACTTGAGCAGAATCATATAGCTGAGGAGTGTAGATGATAAGATTTGAATCCAGGCCATGTGACAACAGTGTGTCTCCAACACTAGGTAGTACATGTTTCATTGCTATAAAACCAAACAAACACCCAAGGTCCTGGGGAGGGGGTGAGCTCACCCAGGCAAGGAGCAGAAAAGAGAATGGTGGTGGGGGATGGGCAGGGGGAAGGAGGCTCAAAGCCAAAGGAGCTAGAGAAGGGGTGATCAGAGAGGTGGGAGGGAAAACCATGTATAGGGGGGTGCTAAGGAAATGCTTTGGGTGGAGCCCCCAAGACCACAGCTGGATCTATCTTGGATTCTGCTGGTTTCTTGGCTTCAGACTGAAGCCAGTGGCAGCTTGGGTGGAGGGAGGCAGCCAACGCTGGGGGAGACCCAAGCGCCTACCCACCCGCCCGCTTGTAGCAGAAATGCTAATGAAGCCAAAAATAAAAGCAGCACCAGTGAGCGACTGAGTCACCGCCAGCCCGTGGGTAGGTGTCGGCAGCTCAGGGCACCTGGTAGGGCTCACGCGTCCCGGCGCCCGGCAGCCCCATGCGTGTGCACACACGTGCTGGGGTGGCACCAGGGACAGATACAGCCAGCCACAGGCCCCTCTGGCCATCCATGGGGGCACCTGCCATCACCTCACGGACAGGCGTCAGCCACTACAGGAGGGCCAGCAGCTTTCATTAAGTTAACAAGCAATTACTGAATGCCTGCTGTGTTTCAGGCCCCATCTTGAGACCAAGTCCCTTGTCCTCTGGAAGCTGACATTCTAGCACTTTGCCAATGATGGAAATGTTCTGGAGCAATGCTGTCTAATGTGGTAGCAACCAGCCACGTGTGGTTACTGAGTCCTTAACGTGGTTCATGTGACTGAGACACTGCCTTTTTACTTTTATTCCATTTTCATTTAAACTTAAATAACTATATGTAGCTGCCATGTGGAACATCACTTCTCTGGGGAAAGGCACCAACAAATAATGATAAACCTAGTAAATAAGAAATTATATTGGAAATCAGAAAGTGACATGGGCCAAAGAGAAAAGTAAAGGGTGGGGGATGCCAGTGACAGGGGGTCAGAAAGGCCTCTCTAGCCAGGTGACAGGGGGTCAGAAAGGCCTCTCTAGCCAGGTGAAATTTGAGCAAACCAGCGGAGGTGAGGGAAGAGCCATGGGGAGATCTAGGGGAAGAGCATTCCAGGCAGAGGAAGTAGCCTGTACAAGGACACTTAGGCAGAACCCGTGCCTGGCATGTAGGAATGGCAAAGCCAGTGTGGCTGGAGCAGAATGAGCCAGGGGAAGAGAGGAGGAGGTAGGGCAAGGAGATGTTAGGAAAAATTCCACAGGGCCCCATGGGTTGCAGTAAGGACTTTGGCTTTTCCTCATAGGGTAATGGGGAGCCATAGAGGGACCTAAGCAGAGGAGGGACATGACCTGATTCAGGTTTACATAGGCTATCTCTGGCGGCTTTTGGGGAGAACAGTCTGTGGAGGGTGACAGCAGAGATCACACCTGTGGGTGTGAGAGAGGAAGCAACTGCTTATTACCATTTCAATTTCTTATGAGTCCCTGGACTAGGCAAAAACAGAAACAAGTTCTAGGTTATAGGGGCCAGAGAGAGGGCCTTTTTTTTTTTTAAGATTTTCTTTATTCATGAGAGACACAGAGAATGAGAAGCAGAGACACAGGGAGAGGGAGATGAAGGCTCCCTGCAGTAAGCCTGATGCAGGACTCAATCCCGGGACCCCAGGATCACGACCTGAGCCAAAGGCAGATGCTCAAAAACTAAGCCACCCAAGTGCCCCGAGAGAGGGCCTTTAACTGAGCTTCCAGAGCTTTGGAGGCAGTTTTGGTTCTTGTACTGTTCTGCTGTGTTAATTTAAGCCAGGCCCTGCTCTTCTCTGGGCGACGGGTCTAGTGTCTGTGCAGTGGAAGATGAGATACTGTCCTGACAAGGGTTAGGGGTGGGCCTGGGATAGGATGAGAATTCTTGCTCTTCCTCTCCCAGGCCCCAGGGTGGAGACCACCCACAAAGGCATCTGGGCCTCTGAGAGGGGAGAGGCAGAAGGAGACTCAGCTGCCTCCCAGGAAAACCCAGCTGATGGGGGTAATTATGGAGGAGGGAGATAAGGACACATATTCCTAATGCTCCCTGAGTGTCAAGTCCATACTGAGCAATGCTGAGACCCCTTAAGATGCCTCAAATCGATATAGACAGAGCCAGACAGGGCATTATGGTCAGAACTGGGAGAGAGATGAACTGTTATTATTTCTATCTGGTAGATGAGACAACTGAAATTCAGAGATGTAATTTGTCCACGGTCCCTATTGAGTGGCAGAGCCAGGGATTGAACTAACCTCTCTGATTCCAGAGCCCATGGTTATAACTACTATCATCTACCACCTGTCCATACTGTAACCACTGAGACTGCATCAAAAAAGATTGAGCTACCAGAATGAGGGAGGTGATGATTCCCACTATTGCTAGTGATGCTCATACCCCACTTGGGACCTTATGTCCACCTCTGTGCTCCAAACTGTGGGAAGTACAATGACCATCAGGGCATGTCCAGAAGAAAGGGACAAGTCAGGGAGGCTCTTAAACCCACGTTCCAGGAGACTTCCAAAAAGAAGCTTCAGGAAACCCATTCCAGTTCAGTTTGCATAAGCCGAGTGGTCTATAGCTGCTCTGGACAGTTCCTGAGGGGAGCAAGATCCTCATCACAGGAGCATGCAAGAGGAAATTGGTAGCTGCCTGTGAGAAGTTATAGAGGGGACTTCACAGAGAGGGTTTTGGGAGTCTTAGGTCTGGATTCTGGGAAGGCAGACAACATGGTGGCCTACTTCCTCTCCACACTGCCTGTCCATTCTGCAGCCCCCTTGGATCCATGCGAGAACAACCCTTGCCTGCATGGCGGTACCTGTAAAGCCAATGGCACCATGTATGGCTGTAGCTGTGACCAGGGCTTCACTGGGGAGAACTGTGAGATCGGTGAGTGCCCCACATTCGGAATCTGAACCTAGACTTGTTTGAACCAGAGCCCTGGGGTCTACCCTAGCAGACATTCCCATGAGGATTCAGGGATCACAAAATGCTGGCTTCAGATGCTCCCTTCCCCTCTCCCTCTCCTTGGATCCAGTAAATCGGTCCCAATTAGCTGAACCAGCACCAAGCAGCTGGGGACCAAGGTTCAGGTGTGCTGCCTCCCATTACTACCAGGCAAGGATTAGAGGGGAAGATGAATGATAAGGCTCAGACTCCTCCCAAATCCAAGGGGGCTCTTCCTAGCCCCAAAAACCCCAACACAGGAAGCATGACAAATTATGAAATTTTAACTTAAGTATAAATGATATGAATCTTGAGCTCTGCACATTATTTCATTGACTTCCCAACCACACTACTAATTATAGAATTATAACAATAAAAATAAGCAGTATAATTTCTTGAGCTCTTCTTTTGACCCTCCACTTACAACCACCCTTGAAAAGGTGCTATTTTTATCATCACTTGGCAAAAATTAACATGAGTCCCAGGGAGGGGAAGTGACTTGCCCAAGTCACACATACTTCAGGCACTGCCTACACAGGAATTGGTAGGAGAGCACAAATGATATCTAGCTCCACCTACAAACAGCTGCATGCCTCTGTGCAAGTCCTTGCAGGTGCTCTGGAACTCAGTTTCCCTAAGTTCCACATTCTGAAAAGACCCTCCATCTTCAACATTCTGTGAGTCTGCTTGCCAGAGTATAACCTTCAGTGTTCTGAAGTCCAATGGAACATTCCACACACTGGCTCTCAGCTGGCCCAGTGGCATCTGCTCTCATTAATGCTAATTCATGTTAATTGTGTGAGGTTCCATCCCCTTGACCTCCAGAGTCATTGGGCCATCTGTGCAGACCACTGTTGCTTCACTCAAGTCCAGGATGGATGGTAGGATCATGACCTCATCTTCTGCCTGGTTCCTTATGGGGACTGGGAACCAAGGGGAGGCTGACCTTTGACTCAGTCCCATCCCACCCTCCCCAGATATTGATGACTGTGTCTCCAGCCCCTGTGAAAATGGAGGCACCTGCATTGACGAGGTCAACACATTCGTCTGTCTTTGCCTCCCCAGCTATGGGGGCAGCCTCTGCGAGAAAGGTGAGTCTCTGCCAAGACCCTAGAAATAGTACCAAGAGTGGGGTGGGCTGCTGGGCTGCATGTGTCCCTCACATGCTTCTATTTCTGTGGCCATGAGTTGAACAGATGATAAATTGTTGTTTTGGGATAAAACTCACAGGACACAGACTTATCCTTTTTAAAGTGTACAGTTCAATGGCATCAAGTACATTCATGGTGTTGTACAACCTCTCCCTATTCCCAAGACATTTTCATCACCCTGATAGGGAATCTTGTATCCATGAGCAGTCACTCCCCATCCACCTCCTTCAGCCCCTGGCAGCCACTTGTCTACTTTCTGTCTATGGATTTGCCTGTTCTGGACATTTCATATCCATGGAATCCTGCACTACATGTCATTTGGTGTCTGCTTTCTTTCACTCAGACTGATGTTTTCCAGATTTATCTATATTGTTGTGTGAATCAGTGCTCTGTTCCTTTTTGTGGCTGGATAATATTCCATTGTAGGGATAGACCACATTCTCTTTATCCATTCATCACTTGGTGGATGTTTGGGTTGTGTCCCCCTTTGTGGTTAATGTGAAGAGTGCTACTGTGAACATTCGGTATAAGTTTTTGTTTGGACACTAGATTCCTTTCTTCTCATCCCATTATTTTTGTTTATACCTGGCTGGAATGGCTGGGCCACATGGCAGTTCTGTGTTTAACATTTGGAGGGACTGCTAGACTGTTTCCCACAGTGACTGCACCATATGACATTCCCACTGGCAATGTACAAGGGTTCCAGTTTTTCCACGTCCTCACCAACACTTGTTATTTTCCTTTAAATTGTTTTTTTTTTTTTAATTTTAGCCATCCTAGTGGGTGTGCAGTGGTGTCCCATTGTGGCTCTGATTTGCGGCGTTTCCCAATGACTAAGAATGTTGAGCATCTTTTCATGTGTTTATTGACCATTTGCGTAGCTTTTTGGGACAAATGTCTATTTGATTGAGCCTTTTGCCAGGAGAAAAATTTTAGGTTGTCCTGAAGCCCATTTTCTGAGTTCCCAGATCCATACAGAGAGTACAGCCAGATCAGAGAAGGAGACATCAGAGTTGGGATGAGAGGGGGTGGGTGTAATGGTCTCCAGTAGAATCACTTCCTGCAGCAGAGAAATATGGGAGAGGGGAGGTGACTGAGGTAGGGAAGAGGCTCAGGGAGATGGGGAAAGGAAAAGGGGTGATCTGGCCCCACAATGACCTTGGGTTTGGCCCTGTCTATGGTGCACTTGCTCATGGCCAGCGGGGTAGGGCGTGGCCCAAGGCCAGTCTCCCTCATACTCCCATCCCCCCTCTCAGACACAGAGGGCTGTGACCATGGCTGGCACAAGTTCCAGGGCCACTGCTACCGCTATTTTGCCCATCGACGGGCATGGGAGGACGCCGAGAGGGACTGCCGCCGCCGAGCTGGCCACCTGACCAGCATCCACTCGCCTGAGGAGCACAGCTTCATTAACAGTAGGGACTTTGGGGTGGGAGGGTCCCTTTGCCAGGGCATCCTCTAGGGTCCTGAAGACACTACCTTTCTGAAGCTGTGTTCATTAATGCAAGCCCTGACCACTTTAATTCATGTGTCCATTTATTCACTTGTTATTTCACAGATTCACTTCACTCATTAAGTCACCAAATATTTACTGAGTATCTGCTATGTGCCAGGCACCATTCCAGGTGCTGGGACACAGCAGTGAGTGAGACACAGATTGTCCTGTCCTCAGGGATTGACATTCTTATATGGGGGCTATAGGCGAACAAGTAAATATCTAATTAAATAAGTCTATACTATAATTTAGCTGATCCTAAGTGCACTGATGACAAATAAAACAGAGCCAGGGGAAAGAGGGCAATGAAGAGGCATCTGTGAAGTGGGGATGAAATGAGGATGGAGCTCTGCAAGAAATCCAGAAAAACCGTATTGCATCAATTAAATCTGGCATTTATTGATTTATTCATTATCCCCGTGCCATTTGTTCATCCATCCAATTATTCACATTTCCCCCATCCCATCCCCTGGTAATTCTTTCATTTGTTAATTCCCTGGTTCCCTCATTGTTGTTGTTGTTGTTGTTTTCTACCCTGAATGTAATCAAACACATGCTTATCCTCAATGACACTCAGTGACTAACTCCCTCACTCAGCCACCTGCCTGCCCTGTCCAGCCCTGCCTGCTGGCTCTCCTATCCCTTACTCCCATTTCTGCAAAGATCTGACGCATCTCTGTTTTTTCCTTCCTCTGGCTGTTTGCTTAATCCACAAATCGTGGCAAGACTGGGGCCTAATTCCAGCCTTTTTCATGCCTCCTCCCCGACCCCCACTCTCATCTGTGTGGGAATCAAGGAGACCAAGGGTTTCTGGCCCACACAGAGGCTGTGGGAGGGGCTGGGGTCCTCCTTTCCCATACTTTCCACCACTCCTCCAGCCCATACCCGAGGCTGGGGAGGGGTCGGCACTCCGTTCTCAGGATGCCCCACCTCGCAGGCTTTGGGCGTGAAAACACCTGGATCGGCCTGAATGACAGGATCGTGGAGAGGGATTTCCAGTGGACGGACAACACAGGGCTGGTGAGTGCCAGAAGCCAGGCTTGGGTCTCCCTAGAATGGTGGGATGAGCCTCGTGGGCTCTGTGCTTTGGCCTGATTTTACCCTCTTGTGCAAATCAACCACAGGTCCTTGTGGCTCTGAGATTCTGAAGTTGGCAGAGGAGCTTCAGCAAAGCCCCAGATGGCCCTTGACTTTCCAGGCCTTTAAACACTTGGCCCACACAGTGGCTGAAATTATAGACCTAGGACCAGGGCCTGAAGCCTCCTCTTGCTCACTGTCATGCCCTCCAGCCGTAGATTCCAAGATATTACCACTTCCTGCCATCTCCTTTATCACTCACTAGGACCCCTGCAGTAGCCTCCCAGCCCCCTTCACAACACATGCACTTGCTACCTACATTCCTGCCCCTCCACCTGGCAGCCATGGGAATCTTATTTTAAAAATTGTGGTGAAATTTATATAACATAAAAATAATTTTAAAGTTTTCTTTTAAAAAATTTTTATTTAAGTAATCTCTACAGCCAACACAGGACTTGAACTCACGATCCTGAGAACAAGCATCCCACTCTCTTCTGAGTCAGCCAGGCACCCCAAAATTAATCATTTTAAAATGTGTAATTCAGTGGCATTTAGTACCTTCACAATGTTGTGCAACTGTCACCTCAGTCTAGTTACAGAAAATTTTCATCACCCCAAAAGGAAAACCTATATACATGGAGACCTTCTAAAAATCATACATCAAAAAAAATTAATTAAAAAAAATGAAAATAGGGATCCCTGGGTGGCGCAGCGGTTTGGCGCCTGCCTTTGGCCCAGGGCGCGATCCTGGAGACCCGGGATCGAATCCCACGTCGGGCTCCCGGTGCATGGAGCCTGCTTCTCCCTCTGCCTGTGTCTCTGCCTCTCTCTCTCTCTCTGTGTGTGTGTGTGACTATCATAAATAAATAAAAATTTAAAAAAAATCTAAAAAATAAATAAATAAATAAAAATAAAATAAATGAAAATAAAAATCATACATCAAATCAGGATTCTCCCTGCTTTGAGTCCTCTCAGACTCTCTGTTGTTCTCAAGATAAAAATCCACCTCGTCCTGCTGTGGAAAACAGTCTGGCAGTCCCTTAAAAAGGTAAAGTCGAGCAGAATTGCCACATGACCCAGAAACTTTGCTCCTAGGTAGATACCCCAAAGAAGTGTAAGCAGGTACTCAAACAGGTATTTGTACATTCATGTCCATAGCAGTCCAACTCACAACAGCCACAAGGTAGAAACAACCCAAATGTCCATCAGCGAGGATCCCTGGGTGGCTCAGCGGTTTGGCGCTTGCCTTTGGTCCAGGGCATGATCCTGGAGTCCTGGGATCAAGTCCCGCATCGGGCTCCCAGCATGGAGCCTGCTTCTCCCTCTGCCTGTGTCTCTGCCTCTCTCTCTCTCTCTATGTCTATCATGAATAAATAAAAAATTAAAAAAATCTTAAAAAAATAAAACAAAAACAAATGTCCATCAGCAAACGAATGGAGAAACAAAATGTGGTCCATCCACATGAGGAACACTATTCAGATAAAAAGCTGATATGTGCTACCATGTGGATGAAACTTGAAAATATTGTGCTCAGTGAAAAAAAGCGAGAGATAAAAGGGCACATGTTGTATGATTTATGATTCCATTTATGTGAAATATCTAAAATAGGCAAATTCGTAGAGACAGAATGTAGATCCGTGGTGGCTTGGGGGCAGGCCAGAATGGGGAGTGATTGCTAATGGGGACAGGATTTCTGTTTGAAAGGATGAAAAGGTACTGGGGATAGACAGTGGTGATAGTTGTACAGTGTTGTGAATTGTATTAATGCCAATGAACTAGACACTTAAAAATGGTTAAAATGGTAAATTTTTTGTTACAGGTATTATACCCCAGTTTAAAAGAATCCATCTGTTCTACTGCAAGAACTGGCCCTTGCCCAGTCACTGACCACACTGCAACTCAGTCTAGCAACTTTGACCCCACTGGCCTCTGTTCTGTTCCTCAAACAGGATGAGCACTGTCTTGCCTCTGGGCCTTTGCACTAGCTGTGCCCTCTGCTTGGAATTCTCTTCCCTGCCTGCATCATTTCTATCCTTGGGTCTTCAGCTATCCCCTTGCCTCCTCAGGGAATCCCTCCTGGACCTTTGTTCAACTATTTGTGTAACAGTGACCCATGTGGAAAATAGACTATCAGGGAGAAAGGAAGAAGGTAGGAAGGCTAAAGGAGAGGTGACTCAATCAGTGGAGGCCACTGTCAGACAGAATGGTGCCCATTGTGGAGATGGAAACACTGAGTCCTTAAAGTTTGAGTGGTCTGGCCAAGGGAGTCCTGCAGAAGGCAGTGACAAAGCCTGAGCCCCCCTGTTTCCCATTCCTGCAGCAATATGAGAACTGGCGGGAGAATCAGCCTGACAATTTCTTCGCGGGTGGGGAGGACTGTGTGGTGATGGTTGCACATGAGAGCGGCCGTTGGAACGATGTTCCCTGCAACTACAACCTCCCGTATGTCTGTAAGAAGGGGACAGGTATGCTGTTGCTCTCTCTCCTCCAACTCCCCTCCAACTCCCCTCCTGCCTCTCACATGCACTGGTTTGTTGTTTCATTTAAGTTTGTAAATATAAGTCACCCCTGTCCAGTTTTCACTACAGTGCTGTGTGAGAGTGCCTGTTTTTTCCCACTTTTGCCAACTCTATGTGTTCTCCAACTTTTTGTTCTTTGTTCATCTAAGTGGGGAAAAAATAGTATCTACTTGTTATAGTAGTTTGCATGTCTTTAAGGATGAGAATAACCAACTGTTCATATGTCGATAAGCTGTTTGTATGCCTTTATTTTCCTGTGACCTGCTAGTTCATCTCCTTTGCATAACTTTCTTTTTTCTTTTAAGATTTTATTTATTTATTCATAGAGACAGACAGAGAGAGAGAGAGAGAGAGGCAGAGACGCAGGCAGAGGGAGAAACAGGCTCCACACAGGGAGCCCGATGTGGGACTTGATCCGGGGTCCCCAGGATCACACCCTGGGCTGCAGGTGGTGCTAAACCGCTGTGCCACCAAGGCTGCCCTCCTTTGTATAACTTTCTATAGGCTTGTTGGTCTTACTGATTTGTAAGAGCTCTTTACGTATTAAGGGAACCCGTATATGCATCTTCATGTCCACCTTTCTCTCATATTTTTGTTTATTTTTACTTATGTTTCTTTGCCAGTTTTCACATCTTTTCTTTTCATTTGTTCAGATTTATTCTTGTCTCCCATCTCCTTCATTGCCATCATGTATAAGAATTGAAGAGGGGATCCTTAGATGGCTCAGCAGTTTAGCGCCTGCCTTCCGCCCAGGGTGTGATCCTGGGGTCCTGGGATCGAGTCCCACATCAGGCTCCCTGCATGGAGCCTGTTTCTCCCTCTGCCTGTGTCTGTCTGTCTCTCTCTCTCTCTCATAAATAAGTAAAATCTTAAAAACAAGAAGAAGAATTGAAGAGAGTGGGATGTATCTAGGAGGTTTCTGCCCCTAAGGAGCTCTTGGTTTGGGTAAAGGAGACCGACACAGTCACTTCTAGACATGTGAGGCCACAGCTGGGCAAAGGGCAGGACTTGCTGAGGGATGTATTAGTCCCAAAAAGAGAGGAAACCAGTTCAGCCCCAGATGTGGCCACTTCCCTAACTGCTGGTTCCTCTGTCTCCAGTGCTGTGTGGCCCCCCTCCAGCAGTGCAGAATGCCTCACCCATTGGTGCTCGCAAGACCAAGTATAATGTCCATGCCACTGTACGATACCAGTGTGATGAAGGATTTACCCAACACCATGTGGCCATCATCCGATGCCGGAGCAATGGCAAGTGGGACCAGCCCCAGATCGTCTGCACCAAACGTAAGTGGTTGTCCCCAGACACCTCAACACAGATTGCCAGCTATTTGTAGTCTCCAGGTAGAATATCTTATTACTACACATTTTGATCTGGCTAAATGTATCCCTGATAGTACAGCCTTGCAGATAACTGAGAACTTACCAGCCTGCCCGGTGCTTCCTTCATTTCTCCTCCCCCTGAAAAGGGTCACTGCATCAGGCCACCTGCCTCTCACTCCTTTTGCCACTTGCTTGTCCTCCCTTATTTCCCTGCAGCCAGACGATCCCATCGGATGCGGCGTCACCATCACCACCACCAGCACCATCACCAGCATCACCACCACAAATCACGCAAGGAGCGTAGAAAACACAAGAAACACCCAGTAGAGGACTGGGAGAAGGAAGAAGGGAATTTCTGCTGAAGAACCAGGCAAAAGGAAGCACAACCCCCTTCCCACACCTTCTCTGGAGCCTTCACCTGGGGAGACAGAACCCAGAGAAAAACAAAAGGGTCTGGAAGCCCCCTGAGCCCCAAACCACATCCCCCATCCATAACCCTTTGTAAAAAGCTCCTCTCTCCTCTTTCTTATATACACAAGGTCCTCTTGGCAGGCATAGCCATGTGTCTGAAAAGTCAGTTCTAGTCAGGCTGAACTCTGGGAGCATCTCCCAGTGAAGGGAAAGCACAATTGGCAAAGATCATTCTTTGCACTGGTTAAGACTTTTGTTGGCATGGCTGATCACCAATTGTTGAAATAAGGCTTTGATGAGGGTGCAAGAGTGCATGCTTGGATTCACACTAAGGAATTGCTTATCACACCAGAAATTCAGGCTTAGTAAACCATCAGTTGTCCTAAATGCAGGCTGAAGCTTTTAGTTAAGGTCGTTGGTTTTGGAAGTTGAAAATTACATGGAAGCACACCGCTTGAACATGACAGCTGCTCTTCCTTCACCCTGGACTTCAGCCCAAGTTCCGTCTTTGGTCTTGGTGGATAGACGGAGTGTGGAACTCCTATGTACTGAATTTTAGGAATGTTTTAGAACAACCTCCTTCTGTGCCCTCAGAGTTAGGGATCAGAGTAGTCAGAGCAATATATGGGCAATGGAGGGAAGGTGTATTGCTTACCCTCCCAGGTCCTAGTCCAGTGCTGAGATTTGGTGGTTCTGTATGTGTGGTGAGTCTCTCTCACACACACAGATGAGAGGATGTTTAGGGCTGGATGAGCCCAGATTACTTCCCCCTCCATCTCTCAGGGAGACAAAGAACCTCCTTCCTGGAACCAAGGAGGTGCCAAGTTTTCTAGCTCAGTACTCATCCCCATCCCTCAAAGAGACGTTGGTAGTGCCCCTGCCCTGGGTCCCACTCCTACTCCTGCCCCATTCCCGTCTCCATTCATTACCTGGCGGACTAGAAACGCTTAAAACTTGAAGTAGTGACATCGACCTGCGGTCATGTTGTAGAGAAATGCACAGTGTTAAATCCGAAACACACACACACACACACACACACACATTTTTCTCTCATCATTTTTTAAAAATCTTTTAAATGGGAAAGAACTGACTAAATCTCTTCCCCCAAATCTGCAACCTGTAAAAGAACTTTCCAAGCCAAAGGCTGGGATTCAGCTCCCTGATCTCCAGCAGGAAAAACCCACAGCTTATCCTCCATGTTTTGTCCACTCTCATCTCCTCTACTCTGGGCAAAATCTGTGGATTTGTGTTAAAAACTACAATGGGGAATGGCCCTCTGCATGATAGAAAAATAAACAAACATGTGGTCCCAGGGTTCAGTAGAAAATGAAATGTGTTCATTGAGTCTATATTCCTCCTGGGAAGTAATAATAGTTGACAACTATGGAGTCTATACTGTGCTATGGATTCACACACTATCTCCTTGAATCTTCTCAATAGCCCAGTGATTTTGGAATCATTACTTCCCCATTTTACACATAGCAAAACTGAGGCTCAGATAAGAGAAAGGCACTGGTTCGAAGTCACAGCCAAGACAGGAGCAAGGATTTGGTCCTGCCTCTGTGACTTCAAACGTTGCTCTTTACTTTGGGGGAAGGGGTTGAAACATAATGGCACTCTCTCATGTACACAGGCAGATCTAGGAAAGGATTGAGAAGTGCAAACTAGACCCATATCCTTGACTGTGGTCATCAGTCTTCCCTGCTATAGACATTATCCACTGTTCCACCTTATAGTTATAGAGTAAGCCCAGGGATGTACATTTGTCTTCTTGCTTTGATAATTTCTTTTGATTTAAAAAATACAATAACATATCTTCAGTAATTCATGTCATAAAATAATTTTCCTTTGGGGGTGGTGCTGGGGATGCAACTTTTTTGGGGGGAGTGGTCTTGGTTTGTGCTCCCTGCCCTTGGCTCCCTTAGTCCCTTACTCTGCTTCCACCCCAGCTCCATGGTGGGAGGGGCTCTGGTCTTTTCTAAAGTGGGTGGTTTGTCTTTTAGTCTTTCCCTTTGGGATGTGCGTGTGTGTTTGCGTGTGCCGCTTGTGTGGCATGCGTGTGAGTGTGTGTGCGTGTGAACAGCTTCGGGTTCTGCTGGTTTTGCTGTGAGCTGCAGTGTTCTGTGGGTCTGTGGTATCTGACACTGTGGAAATTAATGTACTTCTTGGACATTTTAATAAAATTTTTTAACAGTTCAACCTGCCTATCACCTCCTGCAACCTTTCTTCATTCACTCAGCAAGTCCTTATTTAGCAAGTATTATGAGCTGTGTACTGTGCTGAGTGCTGGGATGATAATGGTGAGCAAGGCAGACTTGGCCCCTGGGAGGTGGTCAAGGAAGGCTTCCTAGAAGAAGTGGATGGAATCTAAAGGAGTAATGTTAACTAGATGAGGAGAGAAAGAAAGGAAGACAGTTTCAGGCAACGGGAAGAGCAAAGGCAAACGTTCTCTTGCAGAAAGGGCATGGGTCATTTGGGAAACAGCAAGGAATATGTATGGGCTGGAGCAGAGTGATAGAGGTAGACAGTGGAAGGAAATTTGGGTCAGAGATGCAGAGGATGGACCATTATGGGCCATAGAGGCTGCAGTGAGGAATTTAGGCTTTATTTAAAAAGCAATGGTGGCAAAAACAAAACAAAAAGGAAAACAAAGTCAAAAGATAAATGCCAAGCTTGGGAACAAATTTTCAAATCAGAGATAGAGGACTTGTCTTAATATATAAAGAACTCCTACAGGGATGCCTGGGTGGCTCATTTGGTTAAGCATCTGCCTTCAGCTCAAGTCGTGATCCTGAGGTCCTGGGTTTGAGCCCCACATTGGGCTCCCTGCTCAGTGGGAAGCTTACTTTTTCCTCTCCCTCTGCCACTTCCCCGTTTGTGCTCTCTCTCTCTCTCTTTCTGTCAAATAAAACTTAAAAAAAAGAATTCCTACAAACTAATAGGAAAAAAGACTAATAATCTATAGCCAAATAGGCAAAGTACATGAATAAAAAGTTGACAGAAAAGAAAAATACAGAGGCTCTTAAACTACAACATATACTCAACAAAATAATACACATTTTGCAGAACACCAGGATGAACAAAGAGCCTATTTAAAAAGAGAATCAAATACATCTAACAAGAGAGGGAACTTGCCATTCATCAGTGATGACAACATACCCAAACCGCAAATGATTTATGGCTTCCTCAACCACCTGCACCTAAGGTCAAAGTAGAGGATGTTTGTTCAGCCTCACACATAAAAAGAGAATTGCCAAGTGACAACCACAATGAGATACCTTTTTTTTTTTTTCCTTCTGGCCACATTGGAGGCTGGCCGTGCACCCTCGTGTAGAGCCCCAGCACCCAGATGGTGGACCTTTTTTTTTTTTTAAGATTTATTTATTTATTCATGATAAGGCAGAGACACAGGCAGAGGGAGAAGCAGGCTCCATGCAGGGAGCCCGACGTGGGACTCGATCCCGGGTCCCCAGGATCATGCCCTAGGCTGCAGGCAGGCGCCAAACCGCTGAGCCACCCAGGGGATCCCCCATTTTTTTAACCTATTGTGTTGGCTAAGGTAAAAAGTGATAACACACTATGCTGATTAGGAGGTGCGGAAAGAGGCAGGTATATCTATTATTGGTCGGGGTATAAATTGGCCCCATCTTTAAAAAGAGATGGAGATTGCTATCAAAATGGGAAGTTTGACTCCTTGATTAAACAACTCCTGACGTCATCCTCCAGTTATACCTGGACTTGTGTAAGATGATGTGGGTACTTATTATTAACAGCAAAATAGGGGACTCTAAATGCCTGCCATGAGAAGACGGGCTATAAAAATTATGGTGCATCCAAACAATGAACACTCTCCTAACCTTCAAAAGAATATGGGGACCTTTATTTATTTTATTTTTTTAAATGTTCTTAGCCCCTCAAAGGAGAAGGCTTTTTTTTTAATTTTTATTTCTTTATGATAGAGAGAGAGAGAGAGAGAGAGAGAGAGAGAGAGGCAGAGACATAGGCATAGGGAGAAGCAGGCTCCATGCACCGGGAGCCCGACGTGGGATTCGATCCCGGGTCTCCAGGATCGCGCCCTGGGCCAAAGGCAGGCACCAAACCGCTGCGCCACCCAGGGATCCCTATGGGGACCTTTATATGGTGATTTGGAACTATTTAAAAAATATACTATTAGGTAAAAGAAGAGTGACTTTAAAAGTATACAAGGCACATGAATGTTCATAGCAGAATATTCACAATCGTCAAAAGGTGGAAAAACCCAAATGTCCACTAAATGAATAAACAAAAGGTAGTATATACATACCAAAGAATATTATTCAACCATAAAAAGGAATAAAGTCTTGACACGTGCTACAACATGGATGACCTCAAAAACATTATGCTGGGTGAAAGAAGCCAGACACAAAATGACACATATTATATGATTCCATTTTATTTATTTATTTATTTATTTATTTATTTATTTATTTATTTATAATTTTTTTGGAGAGAGAGAGGGTGAGAGTGAGCGGGAGGGGAGGGGCAGAGGTAAAGGGAGAAAGAGAATCTCAAGCAGGCTCCACCCCCAGCTCAAAGTCAATGCAGGGATCTCGGATCTCATCATCCGAGATCACAAATGGAGCAGGAATCAAGTCAGATACCCAACCGACTGAGCCACCCGGGGCCTTTATATGATTCCATTCATGTGAAACATGAAGAATAGACAAATCTATAGAGACAGAAAGGAGATAAGCAGTTGCCAGGGCAGAGGGGAGGGGGAAAGGAGGAATGGGGATCCTTTGCTTTATGGGTGTGGTGTTTCCTTTGGGGATGACAAAAATGTCTTGGAACTAGATAAATATGCTACAACTGTGTGAGTTGTGTAAATGCCATCTGTGTAAAAATGGAGGAAAAATACATATGCATGTTTGCTTGAGTGAACATAAAGTATCTCTGGAAGGGCTTGTAAGAAACTGGATGTCTCCCGGCAGCGAACTGTGTGGTGTAGGATGGGAAAGAGCGATTTTTCTGAATAGCCCACGACAGGAAGGGCTCTATCCAGGTTGCCATCCTTTAGCTCTCCTTCAGGTGGGCCCTAGAGACCTCCACTCCAACAGTGCAGCAACTCCAGCAGAAAGATGGTTCCCTCGGCCCCATAGGTCCACCAAAATCCCAGGGACTCAGTCTTAAAGTCCGCCTGCCTCCCTGTCCATCCCTGGACCAATCAGGATTTCCCAGGGAGGGTGCCACAGCACTCATTGGCTGAACTGGGAGGGGGTGGGGTAAGGTCCTATGAGTATCATTCTAAGAGTGGTCGTTAGACAGTTACATTTTCCTGGAAAAACTAGGAAACTGGAACCGCGGAAGGGAGAAAGAATGCCAGCAGGGGAAAGGTCGGATGAAAGAAATCCCGTGCACTCATGCCTGGAAATATGCCCCTTACCACTCCCCTCTTCAGGGAGGCGAAGGCCCATCAGCCCAATGCGGTCTAACCCAGTGGCTGGGCCACCTTCAGGTGAGTGGTTGGAGTCTCTAAGCTCTGTCACATCGGGTATTGAGGGAATGAGCAGTGACATCGACTACCTCACTTCGATAACCTGATCACTTTTACAGCTTTTTCTCTTCTCCCTTGGCTCGTATCCAGAAACTTTCAATGTTTCTCACTCCACCATCCCCCCACCCCCACTCCACCTCTGCACCAGGGATAACTTGCAACCTCTCTGCCTTGCTGGTGCAAGAACTTTCTGTCCAGTTTTGCACACTTTGTACCTAGGGAATTGAGAGGAACCACTGGGTTTGTCAATGACCCAAGCTGGACTGGGCTGAAACGGGCCAGACACATACATGGGGGAGGATGCAAGAAAGAGAGTGAAGGCAGACTGGGGGAAAGGAGGGGAGAAATTGGGGAGAGGACCGTCCTGGGGAATGACGGGGGTGGCTTCCCAACCAAATCATCACCACACACACCCCCGCAGCTGGGAAATACTTTGCCCACCTAAGTGCATTCATGAAGTAATTACCCACTGGCTGCCATACAACAACAACAACACTTTTTTTTTTTTTTATTGAGCCCCTGCTATATGCTTTGCACTCACTGGGACCTCAGAACAGCTCTGGTACAGAGGAAGAAACAGGCTCAGCGGGTTGTCACTTGGTCATAGAGGCAGGATTCGAACCCAAGCCCACCTGATTCCAAAACTCATAGATGGGTTTCCTTAAGATGGGTGTGACAGTAAGGTGAGGGGTGGGATGCTTCCAGGAGGGCCCTCAGTGCTACTTCACATAAGACCTTGGAGCTGAGGTCTCCCATAGTTGGGGTGGCTTTGTTCTCGGACCGTCTCTCCTGAGCTGGCTCTCAACATGGGGGTCAGGGGTGGAGGGTGGGGAAGGAGGGGATCTGGCTGGGTCCTAATATCTTAGCACAAATTGTCCTTTAGAACTGGGGCTCACTGCGGATTTTGAAGTTTAAAAACATTCCATCTCTCCTGGATCTCTAAGGAGTGAAATGAGGAGCATGGGACTGTTAGGGGAGAGAGGAGCTCAGCGAAAATGGAGATGTGGTCTCAGAAGGGAAAAGGGGAGCCCAGAGCTTGCACAACAAAAAGGGCCAGGGCTACCAGAGTCAGTTTTCTCATCTGTGTGGCAGCAATGAAAACACCTGGAGGTTGCAAGAGTGTCTCATGCACTGTTGTCTGGGATATAGTTAGCGTGCAGAGGATGTCCAGCAGCTCCAGAAGTCCAGCCATATCTGGGGATGCTGCCTGGGGCTGGGCCTATCTGGTTAAGGGGCAGACATTAAGCTCTATGGGGTGCAGTTACAGCCCATAGTAAGAAGTTCCTGAGAGCTGGGAGTTGGTTGTCATGGGGACGATGCAGACAGTCTCTATGGTGATAGCTCTGTGAGGGGGTGCTGCTGACCTGGGAAAGCCTAGGGGAAAGGTGTTCTGTTACCTCAGACACCAGTTTGGTTTCCATAGCAACAGCTATGGGGTTTAAGCAGCTTGGAGGCAGAGTTTGGAGGGTAGCAAGGAGCTGGCATGCACCTGGGGAGAGGGGCAGGGTGTTTCCATGGTGAGAGCCAGGGAACTGAATGCTGGGTCACTCTTGGGACAGTTAGGGGGTTGGAGAGGGTGGTCTTCCCGACTGTTGGTCAGGACGGGGACATCCAGAAGTGAGTAGTAGCTCTCTAATGTCCGGAAGGTGAGATGGGGAAACGTGTGGTATCCATGGTTACAGCTGGCGGAGGGAGGTACATCTCCATGGGTGTGACTGATGAGGGAAGGGCTGTGTGACTAGGTTACAGGTAGAAGTTGGGCTGGTCGCCTTGGTAACAATGGGAAGTGGGACAGCTTGTCTCCATAGTGAGTGACATGGATCCTATAGATCCCTGGGCCCAGGGGATGGTCTCTTTGGTGACAGCCAGGAAAGAGGCCATCAGGTAGGGGCAGATTTGCTCCCTCCAGAGATACCTGAGGGGCGGGGCATGGCCACCAGTCATGCGAGCCAGCTGGGGCATGTCAGTCTGTTTTAGTGGGTGACAGACAAGGCAGGTCTTCCCTGAAACTGGAGGGGTGGGGGTATTCAGGGTGACCTGGGGACATGGCCTGTCATTCTGCACACTTTGAGGGATTCACAGGGGAAGGAGGAATAGGGATACCCAATTTTCCAGGTCATCATTGGGGAGAGGACAGAAGCCCAGTCTCCATGTGATCATGGGGCGTGATCACCCGGTGAATTCGGAGATTTCCATTTTTTCTACATGTAAGGGGGAAAGGGGTTCAGTGTCCAGATGACCATAAGGGATTAATCTTCAGTCTCCAGGGAGATGCAGAGGCCCTGAGGCCAATCTCCAGATAATCCTGGGGGTCCAGCCTCCAGGAGACCATGGGGGATGGTTCTGTCTGTTTTCAAGTAACCTCGGGAGGCGTGGTCAGTCTTCAGGAGACCTCAGGGTCTGTTGCCCTCCAGGGTGTTCAGATGGCATGCCCCATCTCCTGGGGAAAGTCGAGGGAGGAGGGGAAGTCCACTGTCCAGGAGAGGTGTGGCCTTGATCAGTCTCCCAGAACTGGCTAGTCTATGAGGACCCCAGGGGGCGTAGCCAGTGTTCAAGACCACAGGAAGCCCCGTCAGCCTGCAGGGCGCCGCAGGGGGCGTGGCCAGTCTCCAGTCACGTGGCCGGTCTCCAAGAGACCGCAGAGCACTCGGCCAGCCGCCAAGCACCCCAATCATCTGCGCCCAGGGCCTAGACGCGCAACGGGGTCCAAGCAGCGGGGTCGCGCGCGCCTCCGGCCCAGCCACCGCCTCCGGCCCAACCCCAGCCCCAGCCGCCGGGCGCGGGGTCCGGCGCACCGGGCGCGCGGTAGCAGTAGACGCCAAAGAGGCGGCGCGTGGCGTCGGGGAATCCTAGGCTGCGGACGCCGGGCCGGCGGCCACCGCAGCGCGCGCGCGGGTTCACGATGGGGTAGCGCGCGCTCCCGTCGGCCAGCCAGCCCGCGGTGCAGCGGTCCAGCAGCTGCAGCTTCCACGCCGCGAAGAGCTGTCCCACCTTGGCCACGGCCGCGCCGCGCGCCGCGCACGCACGTGCTGCTCCCGAGAAGGGCACGGGCCGCAGCGGCTTCAGGAAGAACACACGTCCTGCAGTGGAGTGGGGGAGAGTGCTTAAGGCCAATCTCGGGAGCTGGCATCCCCAGGATTCAGACGCTTTCCACCTCCCACGTGCCTGCAACCCAGGACCCGAACCACAGGACTCAGGAGCACCCCCACCCCTGCAGTCCTGGATCCCAGCCTTGGCCGGGGGCAGCGTCGGTGCCAGGCGATGCTTGACTGCTGCGCCTTGGCAGTCCGGGGGTGGGATATCCCGGTCTGGACCCCCCGCCCCGAGGGTCGGAGTGGATAGAAGGGGCTAAACGGAGGAAACTGAGAGGGCGGAAAGAGATTGAGAGGGAGGGGGACCTGGAAGAGGACTCCCAAGGGGCGGGGCCTCGCGGGCGGGGCGGATCCCGAGCCTGCGGGGGGCGGGGTCTCCTCCCCGGGGGCGGGGCCTACACACCCGGGAGGTTGGATGTGAAGCAAAAGGCGTCGTAGCGTTCCTCGGCGTTATGGCGGTAGCCGTAGTTGCGCACGCCCCCCGAGGCGCCGCCGCCGCCGCCAGTCCCGGCGCTCCCGGCTCCGCCCAGGCCGCCGCAGGGCTCCCGGGGCTGGCTCACCGGGTACTGCACGGAGCCGTCGCGCAGCCAGCCTGCATTGCACCAGTCCAGGCCATCGCGCCAGGCCGCGTGCAGCTGCTCTGCCGACGCCAGGATGCCGTCCTGCTCAGCGCAGGCGCGCTGCGCCTCGGTGAAGGTCAACTTGTAGCGGCCTCCACGGGGGTGGTAAGGGAAGACAACGCCTGGGAGGACGGACATAGGGTTCAGCTCGGGAATCCCAGCCCTCCCCTACCCACCTGACATCTGAGGTGCTGTGTAACTCTTCAACCTAGAGTTTCCATCCCTCACTCTGGCCTTACTCCTACCACACGGGTTCTCAGGTCACTCCCCTTGCGGTTCTCCTTGCCTTAAGCATGGGATTCACTTGACCTTCCGTTTTACTGACTTAATCATGGCCACCCACTTCTACCACTGGAGACCTTTGCTTATGTACTTTGTTTTCTACTTCTTCCATCTGCTGCACTCCTATTGATCCTTCAAAACCCAGCCCCCACCACCCTTCTTCCTTCAGTCTTTAGTGCTTCTGACAATTCCTCAGCACTGGGAGCTTCCATCTGGTCAAGCCCTGAGCCCATGGAGCTGGGAATGTCTGTGACCACTGCTGACTCCCCCAACAGGGACCCGAGACCTCTTTGATCCTCCCCAACATTATCCAGGGCAGTTCCCACTGGTTTCTCTTCCACCTTCAGTTCTTATAACTTGTCCTTCATTGGACCTATAGTCAACTCAGCTCATCAGCATTCTGTGCGTGTGTTTGAGGGGCAGACCTTGGATATGGAACATGCATCTTTCAGCAGACTCTGGGAGGAGCAAACAGGAGCCAGAAAGAAGACCTGGAGCCTGATGGCCAAGGCTCAAGTTCTAGCTCCGCCACTCACTTGAATGTACCCTGGGCAAGGCTCTAACCTCTCTGAGCTAGTTGCTCATCTGCTGGTAATAGCATCTCCCTCAGACTTTGGGGGAAATTAAACAAGAGACTTCAAAGACCTCTTCAAGCTCTTTGAAAATGTCCAATAAAGAAGAGGTGCTGCTATTATTGCTGTCATTTGCTATTGTTGGGAGGTTCAACAAGTAAGGGCTCTGAAATCTCTCCCAGAATCTTCTCTGGGGGACTGAGGAAGGCGACCCAAGTGGGAGATAATTCCTCAGATAGAAACCCCACTTTCCAGCTCCACAGTCAGAGCACCCCATCTCCCAGCCACAGTGATTGGCTCATGGATGGACACATGACTCAACCTGGGCCAATGAGGGACAACCCTGAGACTCTAGCTAGCACTGCTAGGAAATTAATAGCTAAGTTGGAGGAGGGAAGCCTGGCTCTACTTTTTGGTTCCATCAGGGGAAACCTGCCTGAAGAACACTAACTTAGGGAAACAGAGCTGAGGGACGAATTCCTGACATGGTGTGAGTGGATTTCCCTGGATCTCGCTGGGCCTGGATCCTACCCCCAGGGTTTCCCAAAGCCCTTACTGTTGGCACTTTAGACTGGATCATTCTTGGGGATGTGAGGGGGGAGAGACACGACTGTTCTGTGCATTGTAGGATGTATTGCAGCATCCCTGACCTCTGCCCACTAGATGCCATCAGCAACCCCCTCTAGCCATTGCCAATGTTCCTGGGGAGGAAATTCACCTCAGATCAGAACCATTACCCTACCCTACCAAGCCTCAAATTCTTTTAGGCCAATTTGATTTGGTTTCTGTCCTTTGCAATACTTCCTACCCTCCTCCCTTAGAAACATGCTTCATCCTGTCCATAAGCTGGTTACCTTCCAGGTCCAGCTTGACCATGCCAGTGTCATCCTCCAGCTCATTGGTGACCTCGCATTCGTAGCGCCCGTAATCCTGCAGTGTAACATTTCGGAGAACCAGGGAGGCATCTCCGGGTCCATCGCCCTGCAGTTCGGCCCGCCCACGGTAGCTGCCAAATGCTCGGTGCTGGGGGCCCAGCGCCACGAAGACGTCGGCAAAGGCCAGTGGGTCCACCACCTTGGTCCACTTGAGGCGCACCCCGTCGTGGTCGTGGGCGGCTGCCTCATAGTGGTAGCGGCAGGGCAAGACGATGGTGCCCCCCCTGTGACTGACCACCTGCCCGGGCGCTGTCTGCACCACCACGGAGCCCGACTCACCCTCTGCGGGAGGGTCAAGTAGGGTTCAGAAGAGGTCCTAGGGGGCGGGGTGGGGAACCTGGGGAAGGGAATCCCGGGAAAGGGAATTCCAGGGAAGTGCTGTGGGAAGAAGGCTTGGGCGGAGGTCAGGGGGTCGGAAGGTTAAAGGAGATCAGGAAAGGGAACTAGGACTCAGAGGGTGAGGGACTTGGGGTGGGGGGGGCTATGACCCTCAGGAATGCTCCATGCCTACCCACTGTATCCTCCCTGCTCCCAGGCAGTCACATTCGGGCAGGACTCCTGCAGGGCAAGACCTGCTTCCGCTGTCAGACTCACCGAGCACGTGGACGACCTTCTTCCGTCCGCGCTGCGCCCCTGCGGGGGCCGTGAGCAGCAGGACTCCCCAGGCCGCAGCCCAGAGCGCGCCGGCACCGAGGGCCGCCCGAGCACACACCTGGGGGCACAGGGTACTCGGTCCCGCCTCCTGGACTTGGCCTGTCGGAGGACCAGCCCCCCTGACCTTCCTTCCCCACCACGAGGACTTCTCGCGTGCCCAGGTCCCCACCCTGGCCAGGGTCCCAGAGGACTCGCCCAAGGAGAAGGCTGGCGGACCCTTCCAGCCCTCCCCCTACCCCCACCCCCCTACCCCCCTACCCCCGCCGCACTCTCCCGGAACTTCACATTCCCGCTCCTCCGCCAAGCCCACGCCCCCGGGCCCACAGGCACAGGGTCTGGCGCCGGCAACCCTCCAGCTCCCCTAACCCCAACCCCGAAGGCTCGGAGCTCCGCCCCCTTCCGTGGCCGGCCCCGGCCAGGATTGGGAGGGAGGGGGGAGGAGCTGGAGCAGCGGCAAGGTTATCGGTGCGCCAGGAGACTGCAGCAAAGCGGCCGGGGTGTGGGGGCGGCGGGGGAGGGGGGTGCCAGGGGGAGAGTCAGAAAGGGGTAGAGACGCGGAGAGAGGGCGAGGAAAGGGAAAGAGACAGAGAGAAAAGCAGGGAGAGATGAGGAGAGACGGAGGGGAAGAGAGGGAAAGACACAGAGAAAGGGTAAGGAAAGATGGAGAAAGGGTAAGGAAAGAAGGGAGAGAGGAAAGAGAGCAAGAGGGGCAAAGAGAAGAGAGGGCTTGGAGGGAGGGAGAGATAGAGACTCGGAGCATGAGAAGAGGGACCAGGAAGACCAAAAGAGGGAGAGAAAAGTAGGGAAAGGTGGAGAGGGCTATAAAAGGAGAGGCAGAGTTGGAGATGCAGAGATAGAAGAGGGTGAGAGACGGCAGGGACGGGAGAGACGGAGCGGGGAGAGACTGAGAAGAGAAGCACGGAGGGACGCAGATTCAGACACGGAGCCAGACAAACCCAGAGAGGCACCTACCGGGACCCGCGCCCGCGGCCCCACTCACCATCTTGCCCGTGCGGCCCCCGCCGAGCGGCCCCTACGCGCCGGGACTGCGCTCCCCGCACACCCAGGAAGGACTGGGCAAGTCCCTTCGGGCGGCGCAATCCCGGCGTCTGCCTGCAAGGGGAGGAGGGAGGCGAACCGGGGTGCGGGGAGGAGCTTTAAAGGGAACGCGGCGACGCGCACTCCTCGAAGAAACCCGGGCGCGGGCGGAGGAAGGACCGCACTGGACAGTCAGTGCAGGACAATGATCCTGCTGGCTGATCTTGGGTGGGCAGAGGAACCTCTGGGCCTCAGTTTTACTCTCTGTAAAATGGAGGAAGGGGGCCTGACGGAGTCTTCCATCTAGGATGCCCAAGGTGAGGGGGGGGGCTGAGTAACCTGGGGAAGGGGCGTGGCCTGCAGGCCTCAGTTTTCCCCTTTGTCACTTGGTGGCCATCGAGGTGTCCTGGGCCCTGGCACCCAAGAGGGGCTCACTCTGCGGGGTGGGGGCCCACAACAGTTACACACTCTGCAGAGGGAACATGCAGCAACAGGTCCAAATCTGACTCTGCCTTTTACCTATGTAGGACCTTGGAAGAGAGACTTGGTATCTTTGAGCCTCAGTTTCCACCTCCAGGAAATGGAGTGCTGTTTTTTTTGTTTTTCAGGTTTTATTCATCTGAACTAGACAGACAGAGAGAGAGAGCATGTGCAGACAGAGGGAGAAGCAGACTCCCTGCTGGGCAGGAAGCCTGATGCAGAGCTCCATCCCAGGACACTGAGATCATGATCTGAGCTGAAGGCAGATGCTTAACCGACTGAGCCACCCAGGCACCCCAAGTACTGGTTCTTTGGTGAAGATCCAATGGTTAGACATACAATGGGTTCCTAAAAAATGTTGGTAGGGGTGGTGAGCAGGGGAGCCTGATCAAGCCTCTGACCCACTCTGGGCCTGAGTCACCCCGAACCTGGCCCTTTACCCAAGTTCAAAAATCAAATCAGGAAAAAAAGATGAGCCTTTCCCCCCAACCCCTTGGCTGCCTCCTCAGCCCCAGTTTCCCCAAAATATGAGCCAATCATACAGCAGAGTCAAGGTTATAGGGTCCATTTTTGGATGGGCTAGGCCAGGGCTCAGTCCTTTAGCTCAGATGCATCCAGGAGCCATGACCTCTGATCAGGACATTTGCAGCCTACGAGCTCAGTTTCCCCATCAGGAATATGGGGTGAGATCCAGCATTATAACGCTTGAGGTTAGCCCTTGGTAATGGTATATGGTAGATGCTTAATAACTGTGCCACACCATTTGTTATTATAATTTATTGTCATATTTTGGGTGTTTCTCTCCTGACTGACCTCAGGCTGGTCTTTGGACCTCTCTGAGCCTCCGTTTTCCCCATCTGGAAGATGGAGCTGTGCACACCAGCCAGAGGCCGACTTCTGCTGTCCAGCACCTCTGGCTCCTGGTGGTCATGCTGGCAGTGATAGGTAGGCCCTCATGGGGTGAAGCAAGTCCTTCACCTCTGAATCCTGAAACACTCAGGCAGCAGCAATATTTGGGCATCAAAAGGTTTTTTTTACTAAAAGGATCCATGGGGGTATGATGGGTAAATTCTGGAGTAGAACAGTCTGTGTGGGATTGGGGTACCATGACAGTTGAACATGTCTAGCCCTCAAGGGCACATGTGTCCCCTGGGTCTCCCATCCAGCTCATTGGCCTGATACCACCATAGCCAGAACCAAAGACACCTGGGGATGTACTTCCTATCTCTAAGAGACCCAGCCCATCCTTCCCACAGCAGGGTTGGCTGGGCATGGAAACCGAGTCCTGGGTCGTCTCCAGCCCTGTCAATGCTCCTTCTTGTGGTGTGCCAGAGGACCAGGAGGTGGGCGCAGGAAGAAGGCAGGCCACCACAGGCAGCGGAAGGCCAGCAGATGGGGACCCAGTGCATACAGCAGGTTGTACCCGAAGAAGCTGGCCCAGGCGTCGTCAGGCACACGGTAGGTGAAGGGCGTGCGAAGATGCATGGAGGCACCCATGTGTGAGAACTGTGCCTAGTGGCCACACAAGGAAGATGTATGTCAGGAGCCAGGAGAGAACAAGTCCCAGCAACATCCCACCTTAGGGAGCCCAGGGGGTCCCTGTCCCTCTCACTGGCTGCTGACATGTCTCCCCTCTCTAGTTTATCTGTCTGCCTCTAAATATCTCTGGGTCCACATTTCCTGTCTGTCTATGAACCTCTCCCCAGCTATCTAACCATTACCATCTTCACACTGTTGGACCCTGTTTTCCATCTCTGATCTGGGTCCAGCTCCTCCTCCCTACCCCAAGCAGCTGCCTTTGACACAAATCCTGTTGATTCTACCCCAGAGATGTCTTCCTGGTCTCCACTGCTCGGGCCTCAGGCTTCATAACTTTCCATCAGGAATCCTGAAACAGTCCCCCCAGCTCTGACTGGGCCCTCCACAGCTCAAACACATTCCATGGCTCCCCCAGCTCAGAGTTCAAAGCCTTCAGTATCTAGCTGTCAAATTCTCTTGCCTCTGCCTCTGTGTTGTGTTTCTACTAAACCACTATCACCCTCTATGTCTTTATGCTGTTCCCATTTCTGAAATGCTCTTCCTTGCCTAGAGAACTCATATCCATACACCAAAGCCCAGCTCCTATGCCCACTCTTCTAGGAAACGTTCCCCTTCTGGAATTGCTCTCAGCCCCTATCCTTTCCTCTCTCTAGTTATGACCCCATGGGGTTGGGAGTGTTTGGGTCAGGTACTTTCTCCCCGTAACTAGGGAATCCTAGGGTACCAAGCTGGGGCTGGGGCCTCTCAGAGGCTCAGCATCACTCTGTTCAGGGAGAGCACAAAAGCAATTGATGGGCAGGCAGAAAATTTCTTCCCTACAGACCCAACCACACCTCCCCCGCCCCACACCACACCTGGCCAACAGCTCCAGCAAACACCAAGGCCCAGTCAGGCAGCCAAGAACAGCCAGGGAAGATGAGGGCATAGGCAGCCAGGCCATAGAAGGGCAGAACGTAGAACATGTACACCAGCATCTGAAGGACACACAGCCAATAGAATGAGCAGCAGCCACCTTCCTGACACCCCTGAGGTGGAAGCCCAAGGGAGGATCTGACCAACCTCAGACCTCAGGCTCTCTGCACATCTCAACCCTGTGTACATCGCTCCTCTATTTCCCTTATGTATCCAGCCCCCTGAGCTCCACCACATACATACATACATACACACACTGAACCCACCCACGTTATTCCAGAAGTGGCAGGTGACCCTGGCCTGGCCAACTGGAACACTCCAGTCCCCACCCCACCCCCGGCCATAATGATCAGTGACAGGATGGGCATATTATTCAGTGATGATGGCATGTGGGCCAATCAGAGCCTGCCTGAGATTTATGCTTAAGCTCTGGAGATATAAAAGCTCACATTCCTCTGGGGTGGCTAAGTAGGGCAGATGGCAGCCTGGAGCTGCCCAAGACTAACTCTGCAATCCCACAAAGTGACTACTTGGGAGTGGAGTCCATGCAAAGAAAACAGCCCAGAGACACAGGTAGCCTTAGCTCCTAGATCCAGCCATACTTGAAGACAATATCTGTCTTCCAAAATGAATTTTTGATAGGACAACAAACTGACTTGTGTTTCCGGTACCTGCTTCAAAGAGGACTTGCTAGACCTCTATCCATGGCAGGACCATATGCTCTCTCTTCCCATCTGTCCTCTCACCTGCACCTTCGGATAGGCCACGGGGTCCCGTAGGTATGGCTCGTACTGATAGATGTAGACAAAGCAGGCATCTGTGGGGCAGTCAAGCACCACCTGGAGCAGAGAGACAAACCAACAACCTACCTCAAGAAGCCATGTTTCCCACAAGAAGCCTTTTCTACCCTCCCAAGCGAGTCCCATACCCCTTGCTCTGGCCTCCGTTAGCCTTGGTTCTCTCTCTTTGGCTGGGAAGGGTACAGAGAATGGGGCTTTGTCATGGAACACTCAGATGAGACTTGATGAAGAACTTCCCTGGTTGATGAGAAAGGCAAGCAGTGGCCTTTTTGCATTGGCTAAAGGAACACTGTTGACGGGGACAGAAGAGTGGGCTGGGGGCAGAAGAAAGATCGGTTGACAACTGCAGACTCACCAGGCCCCGGAAGAAGGTGAAGAGTCCAGTGAGGGTGAGGTATACGACAAGGGCCAGGTCAACTGGACGTCTCAGGATGCCCTTTCTTTGTTCCTCCTGTACCTGCCCCATAGGAGACAGACAGTGTGAGAAGTCTGGTGTCCAGCAGGCACTCAATAAGGCTTCATCCCTTCTTTCCTAATGGCCAAGGAGATGCTTCCAAAGAGGCAATGTTTCTTTTATTTTTTTAATATTTTATTTATTCATGAGGTACACAGAGAGAGAGGCAGAGGGAGAAGCAGGCTGCCCGCAGGGAGCCCAATGTGGGATTCGATCCCCAGACCCCAGATCACGACCTGAGCCAAAGGCAGAAGCTCAACCACTGCATGACCCAGTGCCCCTACCCCCCGCTTTAAATATTTTATTTATTTGACAGGGAGAGAACACAAGCATAGGGAGCAGCAAGCAGAGGCAGAGGGAGAAGCAGGCTCCCAGCTGAGCAGGGAGCCAGAGCAGGGACCCTGGGATCATGACCTGAGCCGAAGGAGACACTTAATCGACTGAGCCACCCAGGCGCCCCCAAAGAGCCAATGTTTCCGATCAGAAGTTACTCCAATGAAGGCCACTCAGGCATGTTGGCACTTACCATAGTGGGGTTACAGCAGGTTGGTGCCCGGGACTGGTTGAAGATCCTCATGCCAGCCCAGCATGGGACTAGCATATAGGGGATGGCAAGGAATAAGGTGGGTCTGACCTCTGAGCTGTATTTACCTATCATGGTAGGAGAGAGGGAGTATCACTCAGTGAGGATCACCCAGGCCTGGTGTGACCCATGAGTCACACCAGACCCCCTGGCTGGAAGTAGTAATTCACAAATGCAATCTTTATTCAAGCTCTGGCACCTCTGGCTCCCCAGTGCTCATAAGGTGGTGTCCATTTCCTCAGCCCGGCCTGCTTCAATTTACTTTCTGGATATATGGCTTCTATGCTTCAGCTGTTCTTTGCTCCCCTTTGATACACCCTGGGTGTCCCTCCTGCTCAGCCACCCCCACATACTGGGCTGCCTCTCCCCTCTACCTCCCAAGACCTACTTATGAACCTTCTAGGTGTAGCACAGTGACCCAGACTGAGGAGATGGGATCCTTCAAAACCAAGTCCTTACCAAGGATGTTTCCTGGGAGGAACACAAGGATGGTCATGATGAAAGATCCCAGCCAGTATAGTCCAAGGTTCCGGTATCTCTTCCTGGGGCAGGGGATGTGGGGTGACCAATAGATGCCTGTTCCCCAGTCTCAGAGCCCTAGCAAGGGTCTACCCTGGGCTCCTCAACTCTAGGTCCCTCCCAGTTTTGTCCAGGACAGAAGAGACAACAGGGAGATGAATGAGGGACTGAACAGACGGTCTGTCTGAGGACAGAAGTGGCTGCCTAGGCACAGGAGTGTACAAGACAAGAGAGCTGACTACCATTCACTCCTGTGACATTCCCTGGAAAATTCTCCTGACCACTCCTGGCTGGAGCCCTAGAGAGGCCTTTCCCCTACAGACACTTCTGATTGCATCCAGGATTGGGACCCCACCTGAGGACTTGATCTCCTTCCCAGGATCCAAGTCCCACTCACCCATCCCCCCACGAACCTTCTGCGGATGGCACCAGCCATGGCCAGGTAGAGGAGGTAGTGAACCGTGCCATCCCAGTAGCAGATGAAGACTCCGTGTGCAGTGCGCAAGTAGGGCTCTCCCTGCAGGGGCAGGTCAGGGCTCAGCTGGGCAGCAGGGCAGGAGGCATCCCTGGCGACCCCCTACATACCTCCTTGTTATAGAAGTCCATGAAGCCCACCACGTAGCCATCTTCCTGGAGAGCAATCAGGAGGTCCACCACAGAGGTGAAGGAGAAGACAGCAAATACTGTGGGGAGAGTGGGCGGGGCATGGCCCAGGTGGGGGCGGGGCCCGAGGCAGCGTGTCGGGGACCCAGAGTCCAGGTAAGGAACTAGGCTCAACTGCTCCCAGTCACCAGTCCACAGGTCACATGACCCACAGCCCTGCCTCTTGAGGAGGTACAGTCCCTGCCTCTGGGAGTCCTCAGGCTGAGAAGGCACTGACCCTGCCCTCAGGAAATCCCAAAGTGATGAGGAAGTATGGTCTTTTAGGGGCTCCCAGTCTGATGGAAAGATACAGTCCTGCTCTCAGGAGCCCCAGGTCTGAAGTGGGAGGTCCTCTGAGGTTCCCCAACCAATGAGGTTTCTCCAGTCTCTTTGAAGTTCTCCAGTCTGATGGAAGCCCTTTAAGGGGATGGAGGAGGCCCCTGCTCACACAGTTCTCTCCTACTGACTCACCAGCATAGAGTGGGTCATAGTAGATCTCGCCGGGGGACAAGTTGTAGATAGTCACAAAAAGAAGACCCAGGATCAGGGCACTCATCAATGCCAGCCCCAGGGGGCTATAAAGAGGGAAAACAAGTCAGAGAGGCCAGGCCCAGTGCTGAGGCCCCACCCCACCCTGGTGAGGGCAAAAGCAGGTTCCAGGATGCTCCAGATATTGAGACTGAAATTTTTCCACCCAGGAATCTCCTATCCTGAAACTGCCCTTTCCCATCACTAGGCTGTTACCTGAGCTGTTTCTCCCTCCTGGAAACTCCTTCCAGAAATCTCTTCCACTTGGCAAACTCCTACTTATCCTTTATGGCCTATCTTTCATGGTTCCTCCTCTAGGAAGCCCTCCCTGACTCCCTAGAAAGACTCATTGCCAAACTTAGGCCAAGTACAGAGGGGGCATTAGTTAACTCTTAACTACACAATCCATCCCGTCACTTGCTGATATAGGTTTGATTCAGTTTGCTGCCAATCATTCAACACCACAAAGCCACTGTGTGGTCAGACCCAGCTTCTAAACCTGTCAGGTCTCTAGTGCTCAGCACTGTACACCTCACTTTCTGAACCTCCTGACTCCTCCCAGCTGAAGTCCAAATGCTTCTATCAACTCCACCCACCCCCTGCCCTGATCTGTCCGGATCAACCAGGTAAGACAGGTCAACCAGTTGCATAGATAATAAATAGAAGCCAGGATGGAAGCCTCCAACACTAGTGGGAAGAGTGGGAAAGCTCTCCAAGCTCCTACACTCCCCTACACTTTCTTCAAGCTCCTACCTTTTCACGGACCCCTTTGACACCTAAGATCCCCATCCTGGCCCTATCTGACCAACAATGACAATTATACTAATCAGATGAGACCACAGCCTATGCACATGATCTGTAATCCTTAACTGTAACTATGGGATGAGGTCTAGGATTATATTCATTACACACTGAAGAAACACAGGCTCCCAGAAGCAATCTAGCTCACCCAGGATCCAGGGGGATGGAGGCAGGAATTTGTACCCAAGGAGCCAACCCCACAGTCAAGACTCCCTCTACCCCATGTCTTGAGTTGAACTAGGTTGGGGAGTGTGAGGGCTTGCAGATGCCCGGCACCCTAGTGACAAGATCCACAGGGCTGGGGTTAGGAGACAAGAGAGGTCACAGCATGTAGGGGACACTGAGGCTAAAGACAGGGTGGGCCAAATTTTAACAGAAGAAAGTCTCAGGCCTGCAATGGAGGGGTGGTGGAACAGAACTCCAGTGTGCCTGTGTCAAGAGCTGGGTAATCAGAACCTTATCTGGGGCAATACTTTGACCTTTGGTAACTTTGGAGCTGGGCACATCCCTGGGAAGATCCCAGAAACCCTCCAAAACTCTGCCCTGGGGGTGGGGGGTGGGGTCCGCTCTGTTTCTCAACCTCCTTTCCCTTCAAGCCCAAAATGTTGTCCTAGGAGCGCCCCGCCCCCCTCCCCCCCCCCCAACACAGAGCTGCCAGGCCCGCGGAAAGGGGCCTTCAGGTTGCATGGCGGGGGACAGTTCTGGCCTAGCCCCCTCCCTCCCGGCAGGAGCCGCGCAGGGACTCAGGGCTCGGGGGAGCCAGGCTCGCCGCCCGCGCATCCTCGCCTCCCGCCACCGCCGTCCCGGTCCCCCGGTCCCCCTCCCCCGAGGCCGCCCCGGCCCCTCCTGGCCCCTCCCCTCACGCACTGCGAGAGCGCCGAGACGTGGCTGAGCACATAGGACAAGGGGAGGGCGCCGAGCGACAGAGCCGCGATCTTGCCGGCCAGCGGCGGGATGTCCATGGTGGCGGCGCCTGGACCCAGGCTCGGTCCCCGCGCGGCCTCCAGGGCGCTCCGCAACTCCGCGGCCGCGCCTCTAGGTGGAGGGGGGGTCAGCAGGGACCTGGCCGGCCCCGCCCCGCCCCGCCCGGCGCAAAGGTCGCCCCCCGCTGCGCCAAGGGCTGGCTGCTGTTCCCTAACTGGCCAGCGCGTCCCGGGGAGCCTGAGGCCCCTCGCCCTTGTAGCGGTCCCTTCCCCCACCTCTCCCCTCACTTCTCAGTAGCCTTCCCCGCTGCCCAGCCTCAGTTTCTCCAGTAAAGGCTAGAACACCTTGTCTCTGGACGCTTCCGCTCTTGAGGCGCCGGACTGCAACCTGGAGGCCCCGGGCTAGCAACTTCGTTCTAAGGGAATTTGTTCTCCAGGCCTCCTTCTGCACTTCTGCTCTCTCTGTCCTAAGACCCATGTACCTACCTTGACCCTGAACGGGTCCCGTTTTATTTTTAAGATTTTATTTATTCATGGGGCAGAGAGGCAGAGACACAGGCAGAGAGAGAAGCAGGCTCCCCACGGGGAGACGGATGAGGGACTCCATCCCAGGACCCCAGGATCACAACCTGAGCCAAAGGCAGATACTCAACCACTGAGCCACCCAGGTCCCCCAAAGGGGTCCCTTTTTAATTCCACATTCCCTAGACATTCCTCCCTCTAGGATCAAGTGGGCATTGGAGGCATTCCGCGCTGATGGACGAACCTCCATCGTTTGGACACAGAGTTTCCTTCAGGGCCCTTAGATTTGAATGTTCACAGTGGCCACACAAGTTTAAACGTGTGTCCCAGTGTAAAGTTTTCACTCTGGGGATCTTCTGGAGGCAGGCAGCCAAGGTCATGGGTTGGGGAGTCCTTTGAAGGACGTGTGTGCTGTGTTCCTCCCATATAGCCTGGGCACCTCAGGGCAGCGTCCCTGCTCAGTGGGTGGGGTCAAAGGGAGGGAGTCCTAAGGATGGATTTAGATTAGGTGTGGATTGCTAGTTTGGTGAGTTTGGAATATGTTTCTGCCCAGGAGAATGGCTCTGGCCTGGGGCCGGGGTGTGGTTGGGGGGCTCAAAGGGGAGAGCTGAGGGAGGATTCTGAACAGCCTACAGGAGGCTGGAATGGGTCCAGGGGAAAATGCAAAGGGTAGGCGGAGCTGCACCAGGGAGGGGACCATAGTAGGGCGGGGCAAAAATTAGGAGACAGCAGTCTTTGCCACTCCCTCCAACCAGCTTTGAACTCTGGCCCATGTGGTACTTGTGGTTACTAGGAAACAGTGAGCAGGTCTCCACTCAATACCTGCCCTTGAGGGGGCCCCCAGTCTGCTGGTGGGAAAATTTCTAACCCTCACCCTTTTTCCATGCAATCCCTTGGCCTTGTGCCAGCTGGGTCCCATCTTTGAACCTGGGTGACAAGATGATATTCTGGCCACCAACCTGACAGCCTCCTTCCCAGTTGTCCATTGCCCACGGGGTTAAAGTTCAGGTTCCTCTGGGCTGACCTGAGGCTCCAGTCTCATTTCTTGACTTTTCCCAATACTAGTGGTGCTGACACCCCCAGGCCTCTTTTCTGTCTGCAAGATGGACCCTCTAGTATTTCCTCACCCCTTAAAGCAGATCCTAATATCCCTTCCTCCAGGAAGCCCTGCCACCCTAGCCCACCCCTGCAGAGCCAGGGGTGTCTGATCCGGTTCTGTCTAGCAACCTGGCCTTGCACCTGTGTTCAGGATATGCCTATACATGCACACTGATTTGGGTGCCATTCTCTTCCAACTCTCCACTTGCCTGGGAGTCAAGTCCATGGGCTGAATCTGGAGAGCCTCCAGGTTACTAATTCAATTGAAGGGTGACCTTGACCTGGATGGCAAGGTGCCTGTGACCAAGGCCTAGGGTCACCATCAGTGGAGCTTCTGGCTGCCCAGAGCTACTTTTTTTCCCCCAGAGCTACTCTTGTGGTAAAGACCCAGGACCACTGGGCAGCCTCCACACATGCGAATGTTACTCTTTGCCCTGCCCCGGGAACAATGTCCATGAAGGGGATGACAGGGTGGCATATGTCATCCCAGGCTGGGCTTTACTGTTGAGACCCCCCAGTCCTGGATGCATCTCCCTCCCACCCCCACCACCCCAAGCCTGCCTCTAATAGAGTACCCAGTTCCTCTTTGGTTTTATCGGTTTTCAGCTTCACTGCCATGTACACAAAAAAGACTGGCTGCCAGGGAGCAGATCCTATCCATCCAGTTCACATAATTGGTGCTGTTTACTGAATGACTGAATGACTAAGAGAATGCAGGCTGGCCCAGAAGCCCTATTCCAGCTGGAGTCTTCAGAGCCCATGAGCCCAAAGGGGCTGAGCAGGACCCACTAGGCACATACTCTAAGCATTGGGCTCTTGGATTCCTGGGACCCCACCCAAGCTGCTCACTCAGCAGCTGCAATTGAGTGAGATCCCCAAGTGGTCTTGGCACAAATGTGAAGCATAGAATCTGGAAATGGAGGGAGCACCTGGCATGCTTCATCTGTCCACAAAGTAGTCCCCCAGAGGCATGAGCCCCAGGGCCTCATGTGTCCAACCCACTGGCAGGACCCAGGGCTAGTTGCAGGGCTAGTTGCACTGTCAGCGCCACCTGCTGGTGAGATGACTGGCACAGGCGTGCCCTAGGTCCACCTGCCCAGCAGATCTGAGGATAGCTGGGCAGTGTCCTGGGACCCCTTCCAACCTAACTCCTGCAGCACAGTGCTACACTGGAAGATCCTTGATGCCCCTCGTCCAGGTGCAGCCAGGTCTTAACTGATCAGCCACCAGCCCCTCTCAGAGTGTCTGTAGATCCTCCCAACTCTAACCTAGGCTGATGATGGCCCCATAGGCAAAGGTCTAGGTGGTTCTCTTGTATTTCTTAGGCACTAGGGAATCTTCCCAGCAGCATCCCAGCCCCAGCTGCCCAGTCCAGCCCCGCTGCTAAGGAAACAGAGGGGTTTCTGGTGATGGCAAAACCAGGCTGCCATGGTAGGCAAGCACTGGAACTTTAATACACGGCACGACACTCAAGATAACAGGAAGGGCAGGTAGAAATGCAGGCCGGAACATTCCACAGTCCAGGGATGGTCGGTCATTTGGAAAATACATTTGTGGTTTTTCCAGAATACTCAGTAGTAAGGCCGTCTGGGGTTGTTCTGTGGGAGGCAAAAAAGGTAACACAGGAAGGGGGTCAATGCCATAGATAGCAGTTCCTCCTGCCCATTAGAACATGCCAGGGAAAGCTGAGCTCACATTCTCCAGAGGGGAGGGAGGTGGAAGAGTTGCTAGTGAGACCTGGACTAGCTGGACTGGGGAAGGAGGGACAGCTCTGTTACCAGCACTGCCACTCCCCTGTTGAGATTCTGGACAGCCTGGCCAGGAGCTGTGGTGGGGGCTGGGGACACACGCACCAGGGGGTTGGGCCGGAAGCGGTAGGCCAGCATCATCCTCTTGCGGAAGGCCTCATACTCATCATCCTCCTTGGAGAGCTCAGCTGGCCGGTCGATGCCAAAGCCTGCTCCATCTACTGTGGTGGTGCCTCTGCAGGGGGGTGACAGGACCAAGTGAGTAGGGGGCCAGCCTGATGCCAGCAGGAGGATTTGCAGATGGTGCATACACTCACTTGTTGACTGGGTTCTTGATGCCCTGGCCCTCTGAGCCCAGCCCGTCGCCCTCCTTCCAGCCCATTTTCATCAGCATCTGGTAGCCGATGTTCTCCACCGTCAGCTTGAACTCCTTGTACTCTGAGTAGTCAGGCTCTCGGCCCTCCTGCAGGGCAAAGAGGTGGCTGTCAACTACCGGGGCTGCAACTGTCCCAGGCCCTGGCACTGGCCTGAACACTAGACTCCGCTCCACCCACCACCAATGGCCTCACTGACTGCTGGGACCACCTGCCCAACTGCATCCTCTGTACCAAGTCAGATTCCTTGACAACAGACCAAGATGTTCCTTTTCAGGGTCCCCAGGGCCAGACTTTGTACCAAGCTGCTTGGGCAAAGTAAAAGAGGGCAAAGTGATGAGTCATACAGGCCTTACCCACCACGGGAAAGATTAATGGTTCATCAACAAAGAAAAACCCTACATTCCGAGGGCAATTCGTTGCACAGAATGCTGAGAAGATGTGGTCAATAAGGTGACCACCTTGTTTTTGTTGTTTTTTTTTTTTTTGGGGGGGGGTACTGTTTATTTATGACAAATGTCCCCCACCCATGGTCTTCAAAAATATGGAACGCTTCATGTATTTGCATGTCATCCTTGTATAGGGGCCATGCTAATCTCTGTATCGTTTCCATTTTAGTACATGTGCTGCTGAAGCAAGCACAGGTGACTGCCTTGTTAATGAGGTTACGTGGTACAAAAGCAGTTTTATAAAAATCCCCCAAAAGATAACATGGGATGTGCCCCGTCAGCTGTCTCTCCTCAGAAGCATGATGACAGCATGGGAGGAATGTGAAGTTCTTCTTCTGGAGAACCCAGTCCATGGGGGCTTCTGCCTGAGGAACGCTTTGCCTATAAACTGCACTTAATTGGCTCCACTGAAAGCAGAATTTCCTTGAAGGCTTGGGAACTGTTTCTAAAGTGGCAGCTGAGCTGCTTTTTGCTAAATCCCTCCACAGACGGTGTCTATCATCAACAGATGCCTCCTGGGCAAGAGGGCCCAGCTTCTCCTGTGAATGAGGGGGGCCTTGAGGCTGCCTCAGGCGCCTGCCTCGTGAGGCTAACAGGAGGAGCTGGGCCACTTGAGTGGCTGCCTGCTGGATAGCCCACAGCAGGGGTTGGTGCCTGGAGACCCTCCCAGCTCACCTTCAGGGCCTTGAAGGTTTCCATGAACTTCTCCAGCTCATCTGGTGGCAGGAAATCTCCAATAAAGTGCTTGCCACGGCCCATCTTTGTCAGCTGCTCGGCCCATTCTGCCCAGAGAAGCAGGAAAAGTGAGAGAAGAGGGTGGCCCCCCAACACAGATATGAATCCTGGCAGGGTGCAGGGAGTCGTATGAGAATGAGGGGTAGACCCTGACCCAAAACCCTGCTCCTACAGGCAGCCCTCCTAAGTGCCATGTTCAAACAGCAGTGAACACTTAGAGAACTACTCTTTTCCAAAGAGGAAACAGAGACAGAGAAGCCAAGTCTCTTGCTCAAGGCCATACAAGTTGGGCAGGTGGTGCCTCCAGGTGCCTTTCTGAGCAGGTGAGTGAGGCTTCCTGAGCCTGTGGTGCAGAGGGCATGGCCTCACCCAGGTACCCTCTCACTCCACCCACAAGGTGCTCCTTGGTATACCCCGAGTCTTGTCCATCTCCATGCGCCGCAGCTGGTGTTCCCAAGTGCCCAGCTCACTGTCCACCTCCTCATCACTGTCGTAACCATGCTGATGCTGCTGCAGGGCCTTCTCCCACAAGAGCTGCATGTCCTGCATCGCACGCTTGTGCTGCATGATCATGTCATACATCTGCTGCATCTGTGGGCGGCACATACCAGTGAGCAATGCCACGTACCACATGTGCAGGGGGCTGGCCCCTTTGCCTTACCTATGCATGTCAGGTGCCCTCATCCTTCCCGCTTTTTTTTTTTTATTATTTTTTTTAAATTTATTTATGATAGTCACAGAGAGAGAGAGAGAGAGGCAGAGACACAGGCAGAGGGAGAATCAGGCTCCATGTACCGGGAGCCCGACGTGGGATTTGATCCCGGATCTCCAGGATCGCGCCCTGGGCCAAAGGCAGGCGCCAAACGCTGCGCCACCCAGGGATCCCTCCTTCCCACTTTCTGCCCTCCTAGGACAGACACATGAGCAAGACTTGGAGCAAGTGCTCAAGAAGATACAAAGTCTTGTATCTGTGCATGCCCTGGGTTCTTTGAATCCCTGTGCTGAGCAAGGAGAAACCTTCTCTGTTTCACCCAGTCTGGCCTGGAGCACAGCATGTCCTGGATACCCTTGCTATGGACCAAAGGAGGGTACCACAGGCCCCTGACCACAGAAGGGTTGAGGCTGAGGTGGCACAGCTGCCAGCCTGAAGGAGGTGACTGGGGTGAGCTGTCCTCAAGGACCAACAGATGGATACCTGTAGTTCCCCAGGAAAGCAGCAGAGAAGCAAAGCCAGCTCTCACTCCAACACAGCCCAACATCAAATGAGCATTTGTCACATGGTTCAGGGCACCCAGTGCTAGCCAGGCCTGTCCTGTACTGGATGTTGGAGGATAGTGGACAGAAAACTAAAATGGAGCCTACCTAGTCAGGAATAGCCCACAATTGCGTTGGGTGGGGTGCAGCTGTAGAGCACCAGCCTAGGGACTGCCCAGGCAGTGTGAGAAGGCCTCAACTCTGGGTTCAATGCAGGCTGGGGAAGGCCTTTGGGAGGTGGGATGGGGCTGACAGGGACATGCCTGCCCAAGGACCTCTCCCCTGAAATGGATCCACTCAACGCAGAGAAGCTCAGAAAGAATATGACATGACCGTGGAACTGTGAGACAAGGCAGGGGACAATACTCCACCAGCCCCTCTGGAGCCTGTCTGCTCTGCCCCACAGACTTACCTCCTGTTGCTCCTTCAGCTGCTTCTTCTGGGCATCTGACAGCTCCGTGACACCCACCAGACCTACAGGCTTCCCTTTCTCATAGCCAAGCCCCTTGAGGTCCTGAACTGGAAATAAGACACAGGCTGGTCAGCAACGGATGCACGGGTCCAGACCGGCTCCTGCATGTGGCACAGAGTCCATGCGCTGACAACACCTGAGGCACACAGCACACATGCCAGAGCCCTCACATCACAACAGTTGTTATCCCTGTCACATGATGACCCTGAGGGCTTTACTGTACTATATCTCGTGCACCCAGTTTCACCCTCACGTGACCTCTCCACGCACGCTCTATACCCCTATGTTGCAGATACCAACATCAGAACTTTGAGGTCCAGGGCCTCACTCAAGGTCACATGTCTGATGGGTGACAAGACAGGGACTTTGTAAAAGCAGAGACATGAAAGTGGAAATAAGCATGTGCCTGTGTGTGTGCATTCACACATGGACTCTTGGAAATAAGCCCTTCAGGGAACAGAAACGCAGCATAGACACACAAGGGTTCAGAGTCTGGCATAAGACTCAGCTGTGTAGCTGTTAGCTCCTTCCGGGGAGGCAGCCGACCATCCTCAAAGCAACTGACATTTAAATTGGCATCAATTTTGGAGCTTGACTGGAGCCAGCAACACTAATGCACATGAAGATGCTGTGACAGCCCCATCTGGGTGGCGGAAACCACCACCCCTCAGGCAGTAGCTTCCTGGGAGAGAAGTTGGGCAGACGGAGGTACAGAGGAGAGGCCCTTCTGGCATGTGCAAAGAGCCAGGTCCTCCCACCACACTAGGGCTGGGGATTCACCCCCAAGAACCACCCACAAGTGCTCCCTGACCCCAAGTTTATATCCTAATACCTTCCTGAAAGGTCTGTGTGGGAGCCTTGTGAACAGGGCAAGAAAGTCAAGGTCTGAGCAGTCCACTCTGTGCCTGGACGTTGCTCACTGTCCCTCTCCTTGGGCCTTTTTACCAGCAAGCAAGCAGGTAGGGGCTGCTCACACTCCCCCAGGGATGACATGAGCCAGTGGCATTTAAACCTGGATGCGAGCCTTTAGAGCCTATGCCTGTACACTAGACCACAGGGGAGGCTTCCTCACCAGCTAGGAGCTGGGGCCAGGCCTCAGAGACAGCAGTTCAGAATCATGACATGGACGCATCAGAGCAGCACGCAAGGCTGAGCACCCTCCATTACAGCAGGCACCAGAGTTCAGCACTTGGTGGCAATCTGACATGAAGCACCCTCAACCCTGGGGAGACATGCTACCTAGAACCCCAGGGTGTAGGAGAATCTTCACTAGCTTACTCCTTGGATTGAAAGACCACCTTCAGAGCTGGACAGGCAAGGCCAATGGGCAAGACTGATGGGCAAGGCTGACAGGCCAGCCATGTGACTTGGGTGAGCTGCCTTCCCTCTCGGCCCATCCTTGCAAAACAAATGTAGTGTCAGCACCAGGGCACCTATGACTCCTCTTTGCTTGTCTGTCCAGGGGTGAGGGAGGCTGAGAGGGTTCAGAATGCAGCGCAGGCTGAGTGGAGGACAGTAAGCTAGATGCCCGCAGATAGTCTCTCTCTGTCACCTGTTCTCACCTGCAGAATGGGTTGACAATAGACTCCCTAACCTGGTGGGTTTGTGGTAGAAAAGGAGAAATGAGACCATACATTGGCCATCTCTGAAATTGTCAAGTAGGTAGATACTGGAGTGGACTGTGCAAAACTGACTGTGGCAATCATGATACTTATCATCATGTATTTCCTGAGCTTTCTATGACAAGAATGGATCCAAGCACTTTAAAGCTTAAAGGAGATAACAGGATCCATGTAGATGCTATCTACAAGAGACTCGCTTTAGATACAAAGTCACAAATAAGTTGAAAGTGAAAGGACAGAAAAATGTACTCCATTCAAACAGTAACCAAGAGGGGGCTGGGATGGTCATACAAGCGTCAGACAAAATAGACTTCCAGTCAAAAAAGATTACAAGAGACAAAGAAGGAATTTCTATATTGACAAAAAACTTGAATTAGAAAGAAAATAAAACAAACATATACCAAAAATGGACAAAACTGAAGGGAAAAATAAACAGTTCTACGATACTAATTAGAGCCTTCAATACCCCATTTTTAATAAGGGACAGGATATCTAGATAGAAAATCAGTAAGGATGGAGTGCCTGGGTGGCTCAGTGGGTTAAGCATCTGCCTTCTGCCTAGGTCATGATCCTAGGGCCCTGGGATCCAACCCTGTGTCAGGCTCCCTACTCAGCGAGGAGTCTGCTTCTCCCTCTCCTTTTGTCCCTCCCCCCTCTACTCATGTCTCTTGCTTTCTCTCTCTCAAATAAATAAAATCTTTAAAAAAAAGTCAATAAGGATATAGAAGATTAAACACCATAACTAATGAGACCTAACAGATGTATATAGAACATGCAACCCAACAATGGCAGAATATAGTCTTCTCAAGTGCACAGGGAACATTCTCCAGGACAGATTACATGTTAGGCTACAAAATGAGTTTCAATAATTTTTTTTAAGATTTTATTTATTTGAGAGAGAGCGCATGAGCAGGGAAGAGGAGAGGGAGGGGGAGAGAGGGAGAAGCAGACTGCTCAATGAACAGGGAGCCTGATGCAGGACTCAATCCCAGGGCCCTGAGCTGAAGGCAGATGCCCAACTGACTGAGCCACCCAGGTGCCCCAAGTTTTAATAGATTTTAAAAGACTGAAATCATAATCTTTTCTGATCACAATGGAATGAAACTAGAA